TTTTTCATATAATCCTGTGCTAACCTGAATGGGTTGGTGTTCATTCTGAAACCGCGTGCGTTCGACATTAATTTCGTGCTCGATATGTACAAACGATCGAGCAGTCAAGTTGAGCATTATATATGACATAGCTGTGGGAGGAGTTTACTTTTAATCCGTTTATTTGATTGGCTGAGGTTCTGTTCTAAGTCAGTAAGATCATATGAAGAGAAATCTTCGTCATGAAGGAGCCCATTCTTCATGACGAAGATTTCTCTTCATATGATCTTACTATTACTAAATTTAGAAAACTGGTTGGTCTGAAGGAAGCGACGCGTGGCAGTGAAAGAGGCGTTGAGTCACGCCACGTCTATAGTTTTGGTCACCATGGATGTTCTTATACCGGTATATGGTGAATTCTAGAAATAAGTCTGGGACCGGTAGCCAGGGAACTGTGAATTTCTGTGTGTGGTCAATTCTGTTTTTCTCCATCCGGTAAGCTTGTTTTCGTTACTATTTATAGGAGTTTGTTACTTTTTGTTTGTATCTTGTTTTGTGTTTTGTAGGTGTTTATATTCAGTTATTTGATAGTTTTCTAGAAAAGTCGTTTAATTTATTTTAGGACATGGGGCATAGAGTATACTCAGGGCTTAGGACGGCAGATGTGATTGGTCGAGTGGTCAGTTTGTGTCTAGCACCAAAGCATACGGAGGGGCGGCGGCGGTACAGCATATACGTGTACTACGTCCTTACAGACTTGGGGAACACCATAGGGCCCGTCTAACGGAGGGATAGATGTTTGTAGAGAAGTTATAAGACGGAGACCTGTGAGTCCGGCGGTTTAGACGGTCAGTGAATGTGATGTTGACTCAGCGGTGTATGGAGGCCCAGTGGTGATGATGTTAGTGTTGAAATAGGAACAATACTGTGGTCAGACAAACTCCCAATTTGGTTTATAAATAAAATAATTCTTAAGTTATATTACAGTGAACAGTATTCAAAGTATAAATTCTAATTTAAAAAAAAAACTTGAAGTAATAATTGTTTAATACAAAAGTTTCTGTTTTCATTAAACAAGTTTTGTTTTGATATTTATTTCTGACACGCAGCGTTAAGTTCATTGTTTGTAGGCGTGTCAGTTTATTCTTTGTAAAGTTATAATTTCTTTTATTTCTCTGTGTGAGTGTTTGCAAGTGTGGTGTATGTAAGGTTTTTGTGTTGTTTTTTTTTTGTTTGTTTATTCAGTTGTTTCATCTGTAAAATAAATTTATTTTTGTTTAATTGATTCTACAGTGTTTCGTTTTCTTCCGGACTAACACAAAATCCAAAAGAACTCATTACAGCCTTGTTCAACTTTCACACTTTTCAAACGGTGAAGGACATTTGTTCTAATGACCGATTGTGATCTTTTAGCAAATTAAATCTGAATTTGAAGCAATTATACGATTGTCTACCTTTATCAAAGTTTCGATTTATAAACAGGCTAATTCTACGATATCCACCACACCATTGATTCTTATTTTTCGAGCATCGTTGACTACAATCCATCTCATCTTTACGAATTGTTTTTCCAAGATCGCCACACAAACAGTGCTTGCCATCCTACAATTAAATCTGTGCTTGAATAATTTTAATAATTTTAATCATTTAACAAAACATATGACATACAATTAACTTGATTAACAAGAATGGCTTCAAGCTTACGAATAATGTTTTTAATGCTAAGATGGCCCAAAAATAATCTATTTGCGAATTGCAGGTTGGATATGGAATTAAGATTAAAAAGTGACAAATGTTGAATTACCGTTACACCATAAAAATGAAAATTCTGTTTTTCACAAAATGTCTTGCACACATCCAGACTGCCGTAGTTCCAAGCTATTTTGCCATTTCTCAGAGTTTTCACACTACCGCTTTCGAAACAACCAATATAATCTAAAACAAAATATTTAAAAGCTTTAGATACAAAAAAGAGTCCTTGCATTCATTAAGTGAATTAGAAGATAAACCGAATAATAATCTTAAAAATTCCTTCTTTTGAATGAATTTGTATTTCGACACGAGAGCCTCAAACACTATCTGCAGTATAATATCAAAATGTGTTGTTATATGCATAGTCAAATATATAACATACGAGGGCCGCTTAAAAATTAAACGGACTTGTTGCACAGAAAAAATATTTGACGACATAATCGGCAAAATGTCACACATAATATAAAAAAATCTTTACTTATCTGGCCTTCAAAATATCATATCAAAATGTTGTAAAGTGTTATTAATTCTGAGTGATTTTTAAGGACATATCATTCAGTCACGGAGCAGCAAAATCTTCGACGTCTCAGGCATTATAAAAACAATGTTTGATTGAGCTTTCATTTTCTCAACATTTTCCCTTGAGTACCTGTACAGTTTGAGTTATATACCTTATCTACTTAACATCCAAACAACATTTCTTGTCACGCTTAAAATCTATTAAACAAGTAAAGATTATTCTTTTTTTTTGTTTTAAAACCGAAATTGCAGGTTTTCATGAGATATAGCGTAACATTGGTCACTCTCAATCACGTAGTCTATACAGTCAGGATAAAGTTTTCGTCGATAATCTTCTTCTCGTCCTTCCATATAGCCTTTTTACAGAGGACGAACGGTCTAAAATTTCAATAAGCTATTCGTGTATCAAATACCCTAGTTTACTACACATTTTATTATGTATATTTTGTATCTATTTTGGAATTATCTCGAGCATTACACATAAGAACTATATGCGGTATTAACCAACATTTGCCCCCCAAAATCAAACTTTGATGGAGTAATATTTAATTAAGTCCTTAAACAGGGGAGTATATGCTGACTTCAAAGCACTGAATAATTTCATAAGAAATGACGTCATATGTACGTAATGACGTCACAAATATGACGTAAATTTCAGTTTTTTATGAATTTTGCAGAAAAATGTACATATTTCGTCGATATTTTAAATAAAAGTCACCGAGCGCATGTGTGTTCAGGATTAAAATTTTGATATAATGTGTAGAATGATAATATCAATGAAATATGTCAATATTGTTCCTGAACACACATGCGCTCTATAAATTCTAAAGCTTAAATTGTTGAAATTTTGTCCATTTTGTCCTCTTTCTGAAAAAGGATATAAAATCGGACTAGTTTGTGACGTCATAAAAACAGAAATTGTGAATACACTGCTCTGGAACTATAATATTTTCTGTTAACTTATATTTCTCGTACAATTTATTGAATTCAGCACATTTCAGGAAGTTTTCAAAATTTGACTTTTGTGGGGGCAAACATATGCAATATACCGCATATAGTTCTTTGACAAAAGTGTGGTGCGCCGTCAATTCAGAAGACGTCATTTTCACAGTCATTTCCACGGGGTTGCATCAGAGAAATATCACTATATTTCTGTTAGTACTTCAAATAATATCTCAGAAATCTAAATACATAATAATAGAACAATTTCGCAGGTAGGTTAAGGTTACAACCAAATATTCTACTTGCCTATATGCTATGACGTCATAATAAGCTATATGACGTGATATTTAGAGATAAGAATTTCTTAAAATCGATACCTAAGATTGATTTGAGGTCGTAAAAATGAACCAAAATATGCAGAGGATTAATATCAACGGAATTTTGTCGTTCCTGGGCCTCTGTAGTTATCACAGGGGCTACATACCAAACCCGTGACGTCATAACTGTTGATCATGCAGTAGCAGAGTGAAAGTGAAAAGTAACGAAAATTGATGTAAACAAACACGAGAAATCGGAGTTTAAAAGCATTTAGAATGAATATCGTGTGTGATTCTTGTGGGAATAAAGCGTATGAATAAGGTATGGTAATATAATTCTGCAATGTCTTCTTAAAATTAAAGCAGGGAGGGTATTTACTTGCCGATCAGCCTTTCCTCTGTCGTTCGTAACAAAAAAGATGCAAAAGTGCAACACTACGCCGCATACCTTGAAACTTAATTTTTGTTTCTATCTAAAGTTCTTATTCTTTTGTTTTTGGAAAGTGCTGCTAGAATCGTATGGGTTACGGGAATTGATGCATTTTTTTCGATGTTAACAACAAAATGTAAAAATTTTGGGAAGGTTTCATCCGAAATTGTTGAATAATTATTTCTATAAGAGGACAGTAGGATTCTAGCAGTACTTTTCATGGTACAGAGATGTTTTAACATAACTATCAATATAAATTGGAACTAATTATCTCCGGGGTAGTGTTAAACTTTTCACTTTTTCATTAAAATTTTCTAATTATAGACGTCACGTGATGACGTCGTGGTGAAGTGTGTGTATAAGTTCCATTGAAGTCTATAGAATACATAATTATGGTAAAAGTTTTATCCTTGACTTTTCCGATTTATTAGTGTTGCATAATTATAAAAAAGTGTTAATTCGCCGAATTCCGATCCATGTGCTGCCTTAACAAACCCGCGTTAAAGATACAAATTGAGAAAATTGTCGAATAATATCGCGAATTATAGAAAGTAACTGAGTTAAATTTGGATTCCGCATGCTTTTGCTTCAAAATTTTTGTTTTGCTCCGTACCTCTCCATCGGCGATATTAACATAGCGATAATTTTAGTAGAACTTTTCTAAAATTTATTGAAATATTTAGAATACACATTTCTGTGAAATTTCATAACTATATGACGTCTAGAAGAGCAAATAATAGCACATTTCGCGTAATTTTTGACCGGTCATCGTATTAAAGATGCGCGGATATTTCAATGTAGCATTAACAATAACTTTTTCGGTGGAGTACTCATTCAGTTAACAAAAGGTTGTGTCTTACATGTAGAATCCCTGAAGTCTTATAAAGGTAGGTGAATTTTCTTTCCTTAAGCACATTGCACTTTAAATTTGAAGTGAATATATTGTTTCCTTCGAGGGATTTTTTAAACCAAGGAATCGTATAATGGTGGGCATTTTAAACAAGTTGTACTGTTTCATTTATTTTGAAATTTAATGTATAACTTAATTTTTTTCCTTTTACCTCTTTCATAATTGGGATTTTTATACACGCTTATCTTTCCATGTCCACCACAAAACTGTTTATCATTTCCGCTGCATTTGGAACTGCATTCTCTGTCAGGCTTCTTAGCACTTTGTGAAAGAGAGCTCCCACAGAAACACTGTCTGGAAGCCTATAAAGAAGACATTTGTCTATATCACTTAAATTCAGAGTTTAGAATTCCCTTTCAATTCGCAGTTGATGTAAATTACGCAAAAATACAATTAGCTACAAATATCCTATTATGTATAATATGTTATGTGCAGTTAATGTTAATGTAATGGTACATTAGAAAGGAATGTTCATGATTGAAAAGCTCGATCATCATCATATTTATAGCAAAGTTAGCTAGCAATTATATATTTTACTAGCGTACACATACATACAAAAAAAACTATGGTGTGGTTTCTTATTTCGATTGAAAGTGGGCAATTGAAATCAACGGAGAAATTTCCATGACTGTTTTCATTCATCAAACGTCTTTCGATATGTCAAAATTTCGCATCAGAAATTGGAAAACTAACCGTACCAAAAGTTCCCAACAAATTAAAATGACGACTTTAAGATTGATATTCTCAATTCGAAGACCAGAAAAGACAAAAAAAAAGAAAGAATAAGAACCTCCAAACCGTAGAATTGTTCATCCTGGTGTTGACAGAATTCTTTACATGTCTCCACAGTCATGGAATCAGAGGTACTGTTTTTACCTTTCAATATCCGGTCTGGCTGGTCCTGGAAGCACCCTACATAACCTATAAGGATTATATTGTTAAATATATAAAAATACGATGCCTATTATTCATCAAAGAAGGATATGTAGATAAAGAACATTATTCATTCTCAAAGTCCATTAAGTCTCACTCCGATGTTCAGCTCTTTGCAGATGTACACTGGGAGAAGTACCGACTATTTTAACGATTAAAATTCAGCCAAAATAAGCCAAAAATAGCACCCTGCCAAAATAATCCTAAAATATATTACACTAAAACAATTGGCATACTTTTGAGCACCCAGAATTAACACCAAATTTTACAACCACCTAGAAAACCTGCTTGTCATTGGACTATACTCTGATAAAATGATTAGGGACAATACACTTTTTTGAGAAATTCTTAAAGCTCTTTTTGACGTTAGGTTCTCGTTAAATACGCCCTGTGGTTATAAAACATATAAATTCAAAATGAAGCATACTGATCTCTATTTACTCAAATAGAATAAAATTTCACACATGAACAAAACAAATACTTTTACCCATGATATTCTGCTCATTCAAATATTTTTTGAGATGTATAAAGAATATTGACATCGTCAACGAACTTTTCTGACAACCCTCGTATAAATCATTAACTGCTCTTGACAAAGGGAAAATCAGCTGAAATTCTATTTGTTTAAATGATTAGTAAAGCAACTCTTAAAAGGGAAATTAAGGAAGTCTTGGAACAAAATATCAATTTAAGACATTGAAAACAAATTAAAGTAGGCAATAGGATCATGGTTTCAGTCAAAGCAAATGCTACAGTATATATTACAAATCTTGACATCATACACGAACTTTTCAAACAACCCTCGTTTAAATCATTAACTGCTCTGGAAAAAGAAACGGGGAAATCAGCTGAAATTTCAATTGGTAAATTGATCGTAACGACACTCTTGAACGGGAAATGACGGAAATATGGGACAAAAAAAAATAAAATGAAGAGATTAAAATCAGCTTAGAGTATGATATAGAGAAAACGGTTTAAGATATTAAGTAAAACCAAAGTCTACAAAATATGAAACTAGGCCTTGTTCAACTTTCACACTTTTCAAACGGTGAAGGACATATTTTCTACGGGGCGAATGTTATCTTTTTGCAAAATAAATCTGAATTTGAAACAATTATATAATTTTCTACCTTTATCAAAGTTTCGATTTATATATAGGCTCATTCTATAATATCCACCACACCATTGATTCTTATTTTTCGAGCATCGTTGACTACAATCCATCTCATCTTTACGAATTGTTTTTCCAAGATCGCCACACAAACAGTGCTTGCCATCCTACAATTAAATCTGTGCTTGAATAATTTTAATCATTTAACAAAATATATGACGTACAATTAACTTGATTAAGAAGGATGGCTTTAAGCTTAAGAATAATGTTTTTAATGCTAAGATGGTCAAAAAAATTCTACTTTCGAATTGCAGGATGGATATTGAATTAAGATTAAAAAATGACAAATGTTGAATTACCTTTACACCATAGAAATGAAAATTCTCTTTTTCACAAAATGTCTTGCACAAATCAAGACTGCCGTAGTTCCAAGCTATTTTGCCATTTCTCAGAGTTTTCACACTACCGCTTTCGAAACAACCAATATAATCTAAATCAAAACATTTAAAAGCTTTAGATACAAAAAAGAGTCCTTGCATTCATTAAGTGAATTAAAAGATTAAACAAATTATAATCTTAAAAATTCCTTCTTTTGAATCCATTTGTTTTTCGACACGAGAGCCTCAAACACTATCTGAAGTATAATATCCCAATGTGTTGTTATATGCATAGTCAAATATATAACATATGAGGGCCGCTCAAAAATTACGCGGACTTGTTGCACACAAAAAATATTTGACGACATAATCCACAAAATGTAACACATAATATAAAAAAAATTCTTTACTTATCTGGTCTTCAAAATTTCATATCAAAATGTTGTAAAGTGGTATCAATTTTGAGTGATTTTTCAGGACATATGATTAAGTCACAGAGCAGCAAAATCTTCGACGTCACAGGCATTATAAAAAAAAACATGTGATTGAGCTTTCATTTTCTCAACATTTTCCCAAGAGTACCTGTACAGTTCGAGTTTCCTTAAACAACATTTTTTGTCACGCATTAAATCTATTAAACAAGTAAAGAATATTCTTTTTTTTTTGTTTAAAAACCAAAAACTGCAGGTATTTATGAGATATAGCGTGACATTGGTCACTCTCAATCACGTTCTCTAAAGTCCGGATAAAGTGTTCGTCGATAATGTTCTTCTCCTCCTCCCATATAGCCTTTTTACAGAGGTCTTACGGTCTAAAATTTCAATAAGCTATTTGTGGACGAATGTCACTAATACCCTAGTATACTACATATCTTATTATGCATATTTTGGATCTATTTTTGCGATATCTCGAGCATTACACATAATTTAACAAAAGTGTGGTGCGCCGTCAATTCAGGAGATGTCATTTTCACAGTCGTTTCCACGGGGATCATAATTTTAGTAGAATTATTTTAAAATACGGAAATTTTGTTCAAAATTTCTTAAAATTGTGTGAAATTTCATAACTATATGACGTCTATAATAGAAAATAATAGCACAGTCCGCGTAAGTTTTGAACGGTCCTCCTATCATAGATGCACAGATATTTCAATGTAGCATTCACAATAACTTTCTCGGTGGAGTACTCATTCAGTTAACGATAGGTTGTGTCTTACATGTAGAATCCCTGAAGTCAAAAAAGGTAAGTGAATTTTCTTTCGTTAAGCGCATTGCACCTTATATTTGAAGTGAATATATTGTTTCCTTCGAAGGATTTTTAAAACCAAGGAATCGTGTAATGGTGGGCGTTTAAAACAAGTTGTACTGTTAATTTATTTTGAAATTTAATATAAGACTTAATTTTTTTCCCTTTACCTCTTTCATAATTGGGATTTTTATACACGCTTATCTTCCCATGTCCACCACAAAACTGTTTATCATTTCCGCTGCATTTGGAACTGCATTCTCTGTCAGGCTTCTTGGCACTTTGTGAAAGAGAGCTCCCACAGAAACACTGTCTGGAAGCCTATAAAGAAGACATTGTCTATATCAATTTAATTCAGAGTTTAGTATGCCCTTTCAATTCGCCGTTGGTGTAAAATGCCCCAAAAAACTATTAGCTACAAAAATGCTATTATGTATATAGGTTATGTGCAGTTTATGTTAATGTAATGGTACATTAGAAAGGAATGTTCATGATTGAAAAGCTCGATCATCATCATATTTATCGCAAAGTTAGCTAGCAATCATATATTTTACTAGTGTATACATACATACAAAAAACTATGATGTGGTTTCTTATTTCGATTGAAAGTGGGCAATTGAAATCAACGGAGAAATTTCCATGACTGTTTTCATTCATCAAACGTCTTTCGATATGTCAAAATGTCGCATCAGAAATTGGAAAACTAACCGTACCAAAAGTTCCCAACAAATTAAAATGACGACTTTGAAATTGATATTCTCAATTCAATGACCAGAAAAGTTGTTCAATCAAAGTAAATGGCCTCAAAAAAGAGAAAGAATAAGAACCTCCAAACCGTAGAATTGTTCATACTGGTGTTGACAGAATTCTTTACATGTCTCCACAGTCATGGAATCAGAGGTACTGTTTTTACCTTTCAATATCCGGTCTGGCTGGTCCTGGAAGCACCCTACATAACCTATAAGGATTAAATTGTTAAATATATAAAAATACGATGCCTATTATTCATCAAAGAAGGATATGTAGATAAAGAACATTATTCATTCTCAAAGTGCACTAAGTCTCACTCCGATGTTCAGTTCTTTGCAGATGTACACTGGAAGAAGTACCGACTATTTTAACGATTAAAATTCAGCCAAAATAAGCCAAAAATAGCACCCTGCCAAAATAATCCTAAAATATATTACGCTAAAACAATTGGCGTACTTTTGAGCACCCAGAACACCAAATTTTACAACCACCTAGAAAACCTGCTTGTCATTGGACTATACTCTGATAAAATGATTAGGGACAATACACTTTTTTGAGAAATTCTTAAAGCTCTTTTTGACGTTACATTCTCGTTAAGTACGCCCTATGGTTATAAAACATATACATTTCAAAATGAAGCATACTGATCTCTATTTATTCAAATAGAATAAAATTTCACACATGAACAAAACAAATACTTTTACCCATGATATTCTGCTCATTCAAATATTTTTTGAGATGTATAAAGAATATTGACATCGTCAACGAACTTTTCAGACAACCCTCGTATAAATCATTAACTGCTTTTGACAAAGGGAAAATCAGCTGAAATTCTATTTGTTTAAATGATTAGTAAAGCAACTCTTAAAAGGGAAATTAAGGAAGTCTTTGAGCAAGATATGAATTTAAAACATTGAAAACATATTAAAGTAGGCAATATGACAATGCTTCAGATTAACTACTTTAGTCAAAACAAAGGCTTCAGTTTACATTACGAATATTGACATCGTCCACAAACTTTTCATACAACCCTCGTTTAAATCATTAACTGCTATTGAACAAAAAAAACCGGGAAAATCAGTTGAAGTTCTAATTGGTCAGTTCATTCGTAAAGCCACTCTTGAATAGGAAATGAAGGAAACTTGGGGTAAACAATGAATTTAAGACATTGAAATCAACTTAGAGTAGGCAATAGAGAAAAGGGTTTAAGATTAATTAAGTAAAAACCAAAGGCTACAAAAAATTGAAGTAGGCCTTGATCACCTTTTACACTTTTCAAACGGTGAATGACATTTTTCTACTGACCGATTGTACTGTGATCTTTTTGCAAACTAAATGTGAATTTAAATCAATTATACGATTGCTACCTTTATCAAACTTTCGATTTATATACAGGCTAATTCTTTGATATCCACCACACCATTGATTCTTATTTTTCGAGCATCTTTGACTACAATCCATCTCATCTTTACGAATTGTTTTTCCTAGATCGCCACACAAACAGTGCTTTCCATCCTACAATTAAATCTGTGCTTGAATAATTTTAATCATTTAACAAAATATATGACGTACAATTAACTTGATTAACGAAGATGGCTTCAAGAATAATGTTTTTAATGCTAAAATTACAACAAAAATTCTATTTGCAAATTGCAGGATGCATATTGAATTAAGAAAAAAAAACAAATGTTGAATTACCGTTACACCATAGAAATGAAAATTCTCTTTTTCACAAAATGTCTTGCACAAATCAAGACTGCCGTAGTTCCAAGCTATTTTGCCATTTCTCAGAGTTTTCACACTACCGCTTTCGAAACAACCAATATAATCTAAAACAAAATATGTAAAAGCTTTCGATACAAAAAAAAGAGTCCATGCTTTCATTAAGTGAATTAAAAACTAATCTAATCATAATTTTAAAAAATTCCTTCCTTTGAATCCATTTGTTTTTCGACATTACAGCCTCAAACACTATCTACAGTATAATATCTCAATATGTTGTTATATGCATAGTCAAATATATTACATATTATAGATGCACAGATATTTGAATGCAGAATTCACGATAACGTAGTCGGTGGAGTACTTATTCAGTTAACGATAGGTCGTGTCTTACAATCCATAACGTGAATTTTCTCTCGTCCAGATCCGCGTGGCGCAGTGGTTAGAGCGTCTGCTCTATAGTCGCGAAGTGAGGAGTCAATCCTTACGTCGCAGGTTCGAATTCCACTGTGTAACGTGGAGACCGGTCCCTTGAATGAGACTGTATAAACCAAAGTCCCGTGTCGCACTAAGTGCTGGCACGAAAAAGATCCTTCCCTGCTCAATGGCCCTGAGTGCCGAGTATAGGACAAAATCTGCAGCTCTCCATCGGCAAGTGGTGGCGTCTCAATATGATTGAAAAGTTCTCAAGAGGGACGTTAAACAATATACAATCAATCTTTTGTGCATTTTGAAGTGAACATGTTGTTTCCTTCGAAGGAATTTTTAAAACCAAGGTACCGTATAATGGTAGGCGTTTTAAACAAGTTGTACTGTTTTATTTATTTTAGAATTTAATATGTTACTTATTTTTTTCTACCTTTTTCATAATTGGGATTTTTATAAACACTTATTTTCCCACGTCCACCACAAAACTGTTTATCATTTCCGCTGCATTTGGAACCGCATTCTCTGTCAGGCTTCTTGACACTTTGTGAAAGCGAGCTCCCACAGAAACACTGATTGGAAGCCTACAAAAAAGACAATAATAGTTATTGACTTAATTCATACTTTTAAATTCCCTTTCAAATTTGATGTAGTTTTAAAATACTCACAAACACATTTATCTACAAGTACGATTTATGTGTATGATATTATAAGCTGTTTATGTTTAGGTAATGCTACATTAAAAAGGAAAATTCATGATTGAAAAGCTGGATCATCATAATATTTATCAAACTGTTTGCTATCAATGTCTTCTTCTAGTAAACATATACACATAAACAAAAGAAAATACCTCTAAGCGGTTTCTAATTTCGATTTCAAGTGTAATAATCGAGTCAAAGGAGGATTTTCTATGACTATTTTTCATTCATCAAATGTTGTTTTTCGATATGTTCAAATGTCACACCACAAAATGGAAAATCAGCGGTACCAGAAGTTTCCAAAAAATTATGTAACTATATGGCATTTTAAAAATTGATATTCTTTATTAAAACACCAGTACATTTGTAGGAAACACCTTTCATAAAATCAAATGGCTTCTAAAAGAAAAGCGTCTCCATATTTAGTGAAAAATACTCGAGAGGGACGTTAAACAACATACAATCAATCAATCTAAAAGAAAAAGAATAAGAACCTCCAAACCGTAGAATTGTTCATCCTGGTGTTGACAGAATTCTTTACATTTCTCCACAGTCATGGAATCAGAGGTACTGTTTTCCCCTTTCAATATCCGGTCTGACTGGTCCTGGAAGCATCCTACATATCCTATAAGGATCATATTTTTTAAAATATGAAAATATAATTCTTATTTTTTATCAAATCCATACTACGATTAAAAAATACCTTGACTTTAAACAACAAGCATGTTTATTTCTCTAGCGTTTCATTTCGATGATTAAAAAAATCGGTATGTACGAGGCTTTTCTTGAAAGTTCTAGGGCTTATGTCATATACTTTTTTAAGCAAATGCCATATGTTATTCAAGGAATGAAGCGTTTTATAAAAAAGCGTAAATTGTCCCAAATTAGGTTATATCGTATAACATAAGTTGAAATAAGCTTCATTCCTATCATTTATTTTCAGTGTAGACTATGAGACAATTTTTTCTCCGGAAAAAGACTTTTAATATTTAGAATATTATTCTAAAAGTAAAAGTAAAAGTAACATGAAGCGGAGTAATACGTTTTTTACGTAACTCTTTGTTACCTAGGCAAGTTATGATATACAAAATGGAAAAAATCGTTTATTCAATCAATTGACGTGTCGCAACTAAAATTAAATTATTCTATTTTGTTAGAAATAGATTTGTATTATAAATTTGTAAAATATCCTAATTTATTTATAACCTATTTAGAATAAAAAAAAATCCAAAAATCCAATAGCGAAACATGTGAAAATTAAAAAAATTTACGAACAAATCACTATATAATGTTTGGCGTCATCTTTTCAGCAAAATGGAGTAAAAACAATAAATAAAAGATCAACGATTAAATTAACAATTTTGACATTAATTCAGATTATAAATTATAGCTTGATATTTTGCATCGTTGAAAAGAAATCATGTTGAGAAGATATGTAGTCCTCACTGAAATGATAAAATTGATGACGTTGCAGAACGTCAAGAAACAGAAGATATTGAGGCAATTCTGAGTAAAAATCCTTATTAAACTCTTAAAATGTTTACGAAATAAAATAAATATGTATGTCACGGGCAAGTCATGCATGTATGTGTAAATGGTACAAATGGTATTTAAATGAAAGAGACTCTGTATAAAACGAGGGCAATCTACGAAGAAACAAAACAACTGTTAAATGCTAGACCAAACTTGAAAAAGTTGGAATGTCAAGGAAAGACATTGGCGCTCCAGAGTTGCCGATTTTGTGAAAGCACAGTTTAGTGGTAAAAGAAATTAATGCATTGGCAAAGGAAATTGCACACCGAGATTAGTTGGTAAAGAAATGAATGTCAAGGGATAGAAAATGTTTCTTATGAGTGGGCATTGCGCTTTACTTTGAAAAAAATGTAAAGGGATGATGCAGTTTATTTTTAAGAAATTATCGACGCTCGTTTTGACGCTTCATTGCCATTAAGCAAGCTCTATGGTTAAAAAATCATTTTGATTTCAAAATGAAGTATATTGATCTCTATTTATTCAAACAGATTACAACATCACACATCAACAAAACAAATACTTTTACACATGATATTCTGCTTATTTTAAATTTCTTGAAGGAAGTATTAGAAATATTAAAATCGTCCATGATCTTTTCAAACAACCCTCTTAAAAATTATTAGCTTCTCTGGAAAAACGCGAAAATCAGCTGAAATTCTAATGATTCGCAACTCTTGAACGGAAATAAAGGAAAACTTGGTTCAAAATATCAATTTAAAACATTGAAAACAACGTAAAGTAGGCAATAGGACCAAAGCTTCAGATTTATTACTTCAAGCAATGTCAAAGCAACAATATATATTACGAATATTACCAATACTAATTAGTCTATTTTTTCATTTAATCACTCTTGAACAGGAAATTTGGGGCAAAATATCAATTAAAGACATTGAAATCAACCTAAAATAGGCAATTGAAAATAGGCTTAAGATAAATTAATTAAGTCAAAGGAAAGGTTACTAAAATTAAAAAAGACCTTACTATTCAAACAGCGAGGGCCATTTTTCTATTGGCTGACTGCGATCTATCTGAAAATCATATCTAAGTTTAAAGCAATTATATGATCCTCTACCTTTATCAAAGTTTCTATTTATATATAGGCTTATTCTATGGTATCCACCACAAAACTGATCTTGATTTTTTGAGCATCGTTGACTACACTCCATCTCATCTTTACGAATTGTTTTTCCTAGATCACCACATACACACAACTTGCCATACTGCAATTAAATCTATGCTTAAAAGATCTTAATCATATTGAACAAATTATGACAAAAACTTTCTTGATTAACAAGGAGAGCTTTATAAATAAAGTTTTAAAACTAAAAACAGCCAGAATTTTTTATTTGCAAAACGCAGGATGCATATTGAATGAAAATGAAAGATAAATGTTGAATTACCACTAGACCATAGAAATGATAATTCTGCTTTTCACAAAGTGCCTTGCACAAATCCACACTGCCTAAGTCCCCGCCTAATTTGCCATTTCTCAGCGTTTTGCCACCTTCGTATTGGAAACAACCAATATAATCTAGAAAAACATAAAGAAAAACTTTGGATACAAAATAAGAGTCCATACATTCATAAAGTGAATTGAGAAACTAATCTAATAATAATCTTAATATTTTGTTCATTTGAATCCATTTGTTTGTCGACATCACAACATCAAACACTATCTACAGTATAATATCTCAATGAGTTGTTATGTTCATAGCCGAATATATATCATATTACAAATATTTCAATGCAACATTCTCTGTAGCTGAGTCTGTAGAGGGCTCATTCAGTTAACGGAAGGTCGCGTGTTAGAATCACTTACTGAAGTCGAGAAAAATTAAGTGAATTTTCTTTCATTCAGCGCTCAAAACTTTGAAGTGAAAGTATTGGGTCCTTTGATGATTTAAAAAAAAAAGAAGGATAAAAGTAATATTTCTGTCTGTTGACTAACACTTTATCATAGGAATAGGTATAGTTCACAAGAGCATTATCTACGGAGTGACATCTAATATAAGGCAAATTATTGCAAATTTAAACAAGTTCATTGGACGAGAATATCAGCACTTCTCGTTCATGGTCTTTACGATATATTTGGTCGCCCGCGTAGTGCAGTGGTTAGAGCTTCTGCTCTAGAGTCGTGAAGTAAGAAGCTGATCCTAACAACTTGTGTTCGAACCCCAGAGTGGGACGTGGAGACGTACAGACCTTTCCTTCGGATGATACCGTATAAACCGAGATCCAGTGTTGGAGTAGGTACTGGCATAAAAAAGAAAATTTCCTGCCCTATGTGCCGAGTATTAGACAAAATTTATTTGCAGCTCTTCACCGGCATGCGGTGGCGTCTCCATTTGAGTGCAAAATTCTCGAGAGGGACGTTAAACAACATACAAACAAACAATGACTTTGTCAGCAAGTACAATAGATGAAGTGAAATAATTGCTGACTGACATTTTTTCCTATGCTTGATCATGACTTGAGGCACACAACAAGGGATTCTTACTTTTCTATGCAGACTTTCAATGCAATATTTAGTTTGAATTATATTTGCTATTTGCTCAGTTATTATTTATTTGTTATTTATACAGAATTTCTTTATTCACGCTAAAATGTCAGTATTTTAGCGATGTAAAGACTGCCATAACTAAAATAGACAAATGGTTACATGGTACAATTCATAAAAACAATTAACTCATCAACCATCAGAAAAAAATACTTCAGTCTATTTGTTAACAGAGCTGCTATGATAATTGTTTAGTAAGAAAGATTAAAGTGGAAATATTTATCCTTCTTTTAAAAAATTTTGTTGATTTTTAATTGCTTATATATAAATAGTTCAATAATTATCAAAATATCACTGCAAATACGAACGTTCAAAAATAAAGGCCAAAAAACTACAGTATCTGCTTTATGCTAAAGACAATAATTATTAATACGTTTCCAAAATGTGTATTTGAAAAAAAAATTAAGGGGGCCGACTGGTGGTTTATTGTGCAATACCTACAAATTGAGAAACTCTTAAATTCAGTGTACATGCCAATTTTGCGTAAAATATTTTAAAGGACCGTCTCAAATTACTGTTACCTTACTACAGTATGATATAAAAAGTGCCATTTTTTGCACTATGAGGCAAATTATACAAATACTACAATAGACTTTTTGCTAAAATTATAATATATGATGTCATTGAGTAGTACTATATTGTACATTATATGTAAGAAACACTTAATTTAACTGTCCACTTTCCAAAGGGGACATCTCAAAATGCGCAAAATTAACGATTTATCCTGTTTTCATGGACTACTGCATTATATGACGGATACAAAAGATAAGTACGTACTAAAAACATTTAAATGACCAGGAGATTCGCAATTGTCCATGTTTGAAATTTTCAAGAACATATGTTGAATACATTTTCTTTTTTAACTTTTTTTTTATTTCCCCCTTCTTTAAGAGATTCAATGTATCAGAACGTCAAAAACACAATAACTATTTCGTCGTCAATTTACCTTATATTATTTTAAAATAATTTTAAAAATCAGTTATAAAAATTGTATTTAATTTTTTTTAATCTTTAGTTATATTTAATGTGTTATAGTGAACAAAAAAGTTGCTTAAAAACAGTTAATACAATTCATTTTAGTAGGATGGGCAAAAGAAACCCAAGTCGGTCCCCTTAAAGTAATAATTTAAAAGAATCGCTCTCTGTGTTTATATTTTCTCTTTATTTAATCGCCATAGTGGTTAGAGCGTCTGCTCTACAGTCCCCAGGTAGGGTTTGATTCCACCTGTGGGACGTGGGGACCGTGTCGCAGTAGGTGCTGGCAGGAAAAAGATTTCTCATTGCTCAGTGGCCGTAAGTGCCGAATGTAGGACAAATTTTGCAGCTTTTCAATTTTCACCAACAAGTGGTTGCGTTTCCATACAAGTGAAAAATTCTCGATAGGGACAGTAAACAAAATACGTTATTAATCAATCCATCAATATTGATTTCATATTCGCATCTCTCAACGGCTTGGAGTTTCCGATTTTATTGGAACATGTCAAGAAGTTAGAAATGTCAATCCCGATGCATGGGGAATCCGCAACGTTAGAAAATATTTATTTCAATATCGTCATAAACACAAAAGGACATCCGAGAAGATGTGTGCATAGCTGTAAAAATTGACTGCGCTCACTCTAACGGTTTCATCGTCCGACATATTACGAGAAATGTTTACTGTGACAACACAAACAAGAAGCCGTTTTCGAAAATACCTTGAAATAAATCAATCTGCGGTCAAGAATACTGTATACTGCGATTTTTACGCCCCTTTCGCCCTAAACTCATTTGAGCAAACTTAAAAGGGGACGAACTTAAACACTTATTCATCTCTTATACGTGTATAGTCTTGCTAACTAGACCAATCTAGAGAACCAAGTGATCTAAACCAGGTATTCTTATATAAAATTTGTAATTCCTAACAAGTAATATACAGTTAGGCATATCATTGAGGGAGTTAGCAAGATTCCAATTCCCCAAGGCCAGAACTATTAACAGTCCTATTTAAATAAGTAGAATGAACAATTATCAAAGTTTTCGCAAAAATGGGATTAGAGGAGATTTAATATGATAAAAATTTCTATATATTACATGGAATAAGGAAGGTAAACAGAAAGGACCTTTTTGAGAATATTTTACATTTCATTTGAAAGCTATATATTTTGGTTGAGATTCCTTGGTTTGAAATACATGATTATAAAATTCTTACAAAATAAGTCGAAAACACACTCATTTGCCTTTTAAAAGCCAGTTTAATTTGTCGTTTATCTTTTTTTCCCACAAAAATATTGCGGCTGTGGTTTATATTGACTCTATAAAGAGGGAGGCAACCCTACTCTGAGAAAGAAAGAGGGGGAAATTAGGCTCTGGTGTGAGATTTCCCCTCAGGGGAGAATCCTACTCTTAGACTAGAGAACGATTTCCGGGGGGGGGGGGGGGGGGGAGAAACTGGCTATGGGGGAAATCCTACTTTACAACACCAGTTTAACTTTAGGAAATTTTACAAAATATTGAAAATGTAAATTCATTAAACAGAATCTGACGTATCAAATATAACTATCTTTTTATATATAATATAAGTAAACATAAAATTGTCCAATGCTAAACCGGTCGATGATATTTATCACTGGATAAGCACACAAATTTGTTTTAAAATCAAAAGGATAAATAAAAACAAAGTTGAAATTTTAACAGCTAGCGTCTTGCGTTCATTACAGACTTTTTTTTTAAATCATGAAGAATTCTACATACTAACCTCAAAAATCATTATATTATTAAATGTTAAAACTGAAATCTTGAAATCGAAAATTTGAAGAAAAGGTCGTATTTTGCGTAATATTTTTTTAGCATAAGCTAAGAGAAGTTATATTTTGGGGAGAGAAGATGAATAAAATCAGGAAAAAACGAATAGTAATTAGGTGCAAAAATTTGACAACAGCTTATAGAACGTTAAAGTCACCAATATTCAGGCTCGAAAATTGAGAAAATAATTCCTCTAATTTACAACATCCCTCTCTCATCTGAAATCTAAAATTCAAAATTAATTAAAATTGAAAGAAAATATTTCATTCATACCTGTTCTTCCATGCTGAGCTGTAAATGAAATAATAATTAAATTCTATGCAAAACAATGTGTCGTTAAACGTCTGTCTACAATTTAAAAAATTATAAATCTTTTAATATTTATAACATAAACTTCTCTATTTCATATTCGATGGACCGAGAATAAAGCTTTTATGTATTAAACAACACAGATTAAGGACAGACGAGACGGTCCTTAATAATAGATAATTTTTTCTAAGAGTTTGTCATTGAAGTATTGCTACTTTAACATTTTTACACACAAGAAATTGAGGTACCTTATCAGGCATTTCTGCAAGATACCAGGGGTAGTTTTTCTTATATAATCCTTTTGGGGAAGAAAAATAATTTTCCAATTTCAAATGTTTAAGTGTTTGGATTTTTTAAAAACGTTTAGAAACTGGTTAAGAAATCAGAATGTAATTAAAATTTTGAATATTTTTCATACATTACGAATTTCACAAAACAGATTTTGAGGAACGTCTCATCTGACCTTAAGTTAACATACAGAAAACCCGTCGGAACTTCACACATTAATATCCAAGGCAAAGAGAATTCTGACTTCCAGATGCTCTTATTCAACTGAATTAGGATTTATGCATCTTAAGGCCATTTGTAAACATTCTTTTGGAGCAAGATATTAACTTATAAAAACTCTTTAAAAAAATATTATTCTGCTTTATTTTATATATTTTCAATAAATCAAATGCTATTAGAAATACTGAACGAATTAACGAATGAATCAAAAAATTTAAATATTTGGAGAAGGCAAAATACGAAGGTTGTCCGGTAAAATCGTCTACAAAGTGTTCTCTCTCTCTCTTTTATAGAAAATAATGGGCACATCAAGCTGAAATTTTCAGCAATTGCTTATTATATTTATGTACATCTTATTTTTTCTGGTAAAATACAGAAAAAATTAACATTTTATTAAACTTGAATGTACAAAGGGTTGGGCCCTACATCGCACGATTAAAAAACCAGGGTTTACAATTATTTAGATAGTTCACAATTATTATTTTGAAATGAAGTTATTAAAAGATATGATTGAAGTAAAAATTTTCACTATTTAATCCACTTTTTATTGTGTCGTCTGTTTGAAATTTTCAGGGAATAATTAAAAGTTTCCCGAGCATTTAAAATGGGAAAATGGTAAACCCAACACACCAAAAAATGGAGACATTTGATGACGTTACAGTGTACCGAAGAGCAGTTCAATTTGATTTTGAAGTTGTAATGACCCCTTAAGAAACTTGAAATGAATGCTGAAAAAAAAAACCCAAATAGCACCAGATCTTTAGTGCACAATTGAATGTGTAGTTTTCTTACCGAACTCTTTTCTGATGGAATCTCAGGTTGGAATAAAAGATATGAAGGACAAATAGGTCTTGCTACGTTACATGTAATAGCCAAAAGACGTTGTCACCGTATAGACCGTCGATGTAAAATTTTAAGTATTTTGTTGAATGATATAGTGAGACTCCTGTCCATAACTTGCTAATAAATCTTCAGAAGGTTCAATATGTGTGTGAGATAATGGTTCCTCAACTGTTAATGGAGGATAAAAGGGAAGCTCATGTATGTGCATCAATGAAACTCCAAAATTTAAGAGAGACTCATCCAACTTGTATTTTTTGCAGAAAGAATACGTAAAATTGCATTGTATGTATCATGCGTGCACCATAAGGCATAACACAAACTCAGTGTAAGTTTATTTATGAACATATCTTGTATATCTTTTTTGAAATTTGCAATGTATATTGACGAAAATTGTACTTAAAGTAGTAAAAAATTTAGAACGCATTGATGATTATCTGGAAAACTTTTCCACGATTTTACCGTCGACCCTAGCTAACTTTAAAAATTAATGTCTAAGAAACAACGTGGGTATAATACACATAACTTTGAGAATTAAAAGACATCTTCTGACCATTTTCAATTACTCAATATCTAATTTTCAGAACCTGAGGATTGGACTACCTTAATGTGCATATTATTGAACAGCGAAGATTTTTGCTCACTTAAGAATTTTCCTTATTCGTTCGTTTTCCTGAAAAATGTTTTTTTTTTTTTACTTGATTGACATTTATCATTAGTGCTTGATTTTAATTCTTTAACCGACAAGAGAACAAATTATAGTCAGAGATTACGCTGTTCCTCCTACCTGAACAAAAAATTAAAAATCCGATAAATAATATGAAATGCATGTTTATCTCTTGAAGCAGTGACCACCGCCTTAAATTTTTAGGTGAGGAACGTCTGTATTGTGACTTCCTGGTCTTTCAGTATAATGTATAAAGCATCGATCAGATTACATGTGAATGTATATATTGTTTATTTAAATTACAACAGATGGATCACGAAATGTAACGTGTTTAGGGTAATTAACATTATAGGTTTTTTTTCTTTTGTGCATAGTTGTGGTCAATTTGCACTGTGATCAGAGAAAAAAAATGATTTAAACTTTGGATAAATAAACTGATTCCAGGCCTTTCGTATACGTTAAAAGCCTGAAAAACTAAAAAACGAAATGGATCAACAAATTTCAGGTGTATCCCTTGGAAAATTCGAAATTATTTCTTGTAAAAAAAAAAAAAAAAAAAAAAAGTTTACAACCATTCTACAATTATATGACCGATTAAGAATTTTTCATGTCTTTTAAGTCTATTTCTTATCAATTGGTGAAGTGTTTTTCCGTGTATTTTGCATCAAAAGAAATTCTGAGACAATGACAATAATCTATATAGTCCCGCCCTAGCACTAGAACCCCTGACCCTGGGCCACGAATTTCACAATTTTGGTAGAGGATTCAATGTTCATTACATTCATGCCAACAGTTTGACTGCTTGATGTCCAGGAGTAAAGAAGAAGATTTTTAAAGATTGCAATAATTTTAGTGGTTTTGGCCCCACCCCTCAGGCCACAGGGGGGCGGGTACCATGAAATTCACAATTTTTGTTCCCCTTTACCCATAGATGCTGTATACAAAATTTGCTTGAAATTCGTTCAATGGTTTCAGAGTAGAAGCTGAAAATGTTCAAATGTTAACACACAACGACGGACGAAAACGGATAACAATAGGTCACCTGAGTTACTCAGGTGACCTAAATATATAAAATTTCTACATTTTTTTTTCTACAAAGATAGGCAATCAAAAATTATAAACCTCAGCATGACAAATGTTGTCTGTGAATGCGAAAAGCAAATCTCACATATTTTTTCTAGAAAGTGTGCATCTTAAGTTCAGTATTGATGCAAATATAATTCATTTCTAAAGCCACAGTTTGGAGTCCGCATATACTCTCTTGGGAGTGTTCATCGAGGCATCATCCATGCATGTTTGGTCTTGTCACATTGCGCGTCTTATATGAGAATGGACCTAAACCTTAATCCTAGTCACTCATCTGGAAAATCTAGGCCAATTCCAGCTGCTGGTAGTGTCCATCCCTAGATGCATGATCCCTGCATGTTTGGTCTAGGTTAGGCTTTGGAATGGACTTGCTTCTAAAAAGTTGAATCAGAAGCTAACGCTGTTACTGACGTGGGAGATACAATAGCATTTAAGCTAATTTCTTAATTAATTGGGTCAAGTGAGCTACGAAATCTAATTCATTACAAACACAGATGTTATTGCCATTATATGAATATTATGATTTTTGGGGGAGTCCCTGTAAAATACCATGATTTTATCAAACTCTGACTCAACAAAATTAAGGATATACCGTATAATCCCTATTAACCGCCCCCTACCCCTATAAGCACCCCCTTGGGTCTTTTTCAATTGTCAGGGCCCTTTGTACAGTGATTAAAATTAAATGGAATCGTATCAGAAAATTGAAAAAAGTGAAAACGAAACTTGGCCATTATCCAATTTCTCATAGGAAAATGAATAATTTAGCATAATTTGCGTGGATTATGTTCACTTTAAGTAAAGTTAAACATTATTTTTGTACATGTAGTTCATTTTATTTATTCTTTTTCAAAATATTTTTCAACAGAAAATGAATAATTTAGCATAATTTGCGTGGAATATGTTCACTTTAAGTAAAGTTAAACATTATGTTAGTACATGTAGTTCGTTTTATTTATTCTTTTTCAAAATATTTTTTGAAGTTAAGATATGATATTAAATATAACAAAGAGAATACCAAAATAATCCCCCCCTTTTTGCAATTTTCTAAGCGCCCTGGGTGGTTAATAGGGATTATACTGTAGACCGATTTCATATTCTATTACAGTAGAAGTTAGATCTTTTTGGTTTTAATTATTATTTTTTCTTTATCAGTAAACTTGTGTAATCCAAAGCAAGTTTTTGACTTAATACTTCTCATAGCATTTTCTGTGGTCAGTCTTGAAGTATACTGCAAATTACAACAGGTTTATAATGAATTCATTGCATGGATATAACAGACTCTGGATACAGCAAAGTTAATTCACAGGGACCAAGTACTTTGCTTTTATTAAATCAACCAATTTTTGCTGCCTAATTATAAAAAATGTACATTACAGGTAGAGTCAAAAATATATATTTACATCACAGTCAGTTATTTCTGTAATAAATTTTTAACCTATGGTATTACATGTATAACTTTTACAGGAAAAAAGAGCCTGTGATTTACATATGTATTTGGAATATAAAATCTTTCCATACAATAACAAAAGCGTATATAAATTAAAAGAATGTTTTTTACATCTTCACAAAATCTTTCAATGGACAGCTGCATTAAAATACTCTCTTTTTACACAATTCTGTGCATCAACATAACAATATACTTGTAGATCATGTTTCATAAAACACAGTTAGGAGTTGTCTTAACTGCTTTTAGTGAAATTGACAGTAAATAGGCAAAGTATTGCCTGTTAACTAAAATAGCTATCTTCCCTTCCTACAGATGCCTGTGTTTTTAAAACATAAGTCCAGCTCAATCTCTTTGACACAATTAAAAGACATATATAGTCACAATTTAATTGTATTTTTTCTGTCTTTCAAATGTTTTTTTCTGCATTGGACACACAGCTTCAGGTTTGGTTAAAAAGTTTACTGATATCTTCATACTGAACATTGTCCACAACACGCCCTTTTAATGGACCCTGAAAAAAGAAAGAAAGTAGGGAAAAATTCTTAATTCTTTTTACCATTTATTGACATGTACAGTTTTTTAAAACATATTTTTAGATCTATCACTGAAAGTCTACTATCACAAAGTAATGCATGAACATCTTATCTAACATTAAACCACAAAGCACATTGTGTGAACAAGAGATTCTTCAAAAGAAGAATTTCGAAGATTTTTCTAGTAAGTTTGAATTCTAATTGTGGCCCCACTGATCCTGGGATTGTTCACAGACAGATGGAAGGGCACACAGACATTCAAATAGATGGACATCAAATCAAAGAGAAACAAATAAATCTCACTTAAGTGAGCTAAAAATTATCAAAACTAGCAATTTACACCTTCAGGTAGAAGTTCACAAAGAATCACAAGTGGATATTGCATGATATTCTTAATCAATAGAATCTTTTTCTTAGTTTATTGATAGATCAATAGCAAGGGACTATTACAGATTTTAAAACAATCTACATTATTGTGAATGTGTTACTTACAGAATGTATAGACACTGTACAACTGAATTTTTTCTCATCAATCCCCTCCAGAACAGCATCATGACCTCTGTAGGCACCGTTCACAATCTTCACCAGTTTACCTTAATGGGAGAAACAGTTTATCAGTCTACAATATAATCATATTTAAGCATTTTTGATTGTAAAAAATATTCAAGTTAATCTATTAAAACTAAACAATAAATGTGATATCTACTGGCTTGAGACTTTTCCTTAATAAAATAGTCCTGTCCTAATTTTGATCTCATATCTTGAGTCAAAATATCTCCCATACAAAAGACATACTGTATTTACTTGCCTGTAAGTTGGTCTGCATATAAGTCAGTTGTATTTTTTCAGCTTATATGGAAAGGAGTGACGTTCTAAAATACCAGTCTTTTAATAACTCGCCTATTAGTCTGACAATGAGTTTTTGTCCAAAATTCAACTCCCAAAAAAACAACTTATAGGTGAGTATATACGGTATGTTACATTACTAAGTAAACATATTCCACTACAACTGATTCTTCATATCTGCAGTATGTATATAGGAATTGTATGCCTGTTGCCCAGTCTAAAATGAATATTGTTAATACAAGTCCAAGCTAGCTGTGTCTTCCTACCTTGAGCTGGTATAACAGTCTCTAAGTGATTCTGGTCTACCCTGACTTTGTTTCCTGAGTCTAATGTTTCAATCACAGCCCTGTACAGGTCCTGGACCTCCTGAAATCAAAAGCCTTCAGATAACAATATTGTGGTTGTCAAAGAGTTAATAACTGATAAACTCAATGTCTACATGTGTCACATTTACATGTACAAATCTGTATTAACCATTTATACAAATCATGAATTTATCCATGTGTAAAAGAGTACACCTACTGTACCTTACACAAGTCATTAAAAGATTATTAATTTTACTGCTCCCTGGGGTTGAGTTCACTGGCATATTTAGAAGGGGCCTGGGACCCACTTTTGAGGAAAAAATATACAAGTCATAAGGTTTGATTAATCAATTTTTTGGTGTGGCTCTAGGCCCCTACTATGACTCCAAAATAGCCCCCCCCCCTTTCAAAATTTCTGCATTCTCCACTGGAATTTACCTTGACCACTGCCTTTTTCTTGTGGAATTTCTCCCCAAGCTTCTTTGTGACAATCTTGACAACAATGCCTTCCATCAGCCAGTAATCTTTTCTGTTTGTTTTCTCTTTCTTTTTCTCTTCAAACTAATCCAATAAAAGAACAGATTTTGAATATAGGCATACATGTAGCTGGATGCAAATTATCTTCAGTTATTGCTTTGCTTATATCAAAAATAAAATATTTTATGTGGAGTTTGTATGAAGGACATAGAAGTAAGGAGATAGTCATCATACATCCTTATTCAATGAATTTGTGCAGTAAAACAATTGTCAAGAAAATGACAAGTAACTGATAAACAAACTAACCTCCATGATTTCGTCCAGTGCTGATTTCCGTTTCTCTCCAGGCTTGGGAGGTTTGAAGGGGTCTTTTTTTACCTCCTTCTTGGGCTCTTCTTTTTCCCACCTGCTCTCCCTTTTCTTTGGCTTTTCTGGTTCTGTTGGTTTCTTTGAACTGAAAGGGTTGTCTGATCTGTCAGGGGAAATCAAAAATGGATTTAAATACATGCATGCATTATGACAATTTGTACTGAAGCTGAAGGGTATAAATCTTAGCTTGAAGACATAATCTTAATCAATTCTACATTATACCACAGATGATATTAGTATTACATTTATATATTCACATTTGCTGTGTTTTTCTAGCAAGCCAATTGTGAAATTGACTTGAAGACCATTTTCGTGTATACTCACGCGTAGAAATATACAAGGAGAAACGTGCGTTAATGTGACGTCACAATAAGGCTACAGCAACATTGGTAAAAATGCAATGATATAGGGCAGCGAGAAATTCAAATATGGAGTATATTTTAGTTGCTTTCAAACTTGTAAAATGTAAATATAAGTAATGTTTTTAAGTTAAGTGTGAATTATTGGTGTGTGAATCACACAGACTTGCACGTATGCATATTTTTCATGAAGCGCTAGCACGCTTCATTAAATATGCCTATGTGACAAGTCTGTGATTCACACACCAATAACTCACACAAAACTTAAAAACATTCCTTAAATAAGGTATTTATACATACTGTATAGGGTATACATGTATTGATGTATGAGAAAGATTACAACTTACTTCAATACTGAATTGTCTTCCTTTTTCTTGGGCTTCAGTCCAGAAAAACTCAGAGAAACTACAAAATAACAACTCAAACATTCATTATATGCACTAGATGAAACGATAACCTTATTCAACTTTTAAGTTAGTAATTTCAACTATGATCATTGAACATGTTTAAGTTATAGATGTGCATAAAAAGTATTATCATTATTTCACCCAAATTCTTAGTGTTCAAATTATTCTTTTATCAACAAAGAAGCCCTTACTAACAGGCATATTGTACATTTTTTACATGTGTTTATATTTGGATACCATTGAACTTTTATCAAGCAACAACATCTATTAGGATACAATGGATATTTCCATGCCTGTTGGAGTTCCCAAACACTCTTCTATACAACTGTAATCTTAATATTATGAAAAATTTAACATAATTAGGGACCCTTTCAGTTAACAAGCTTTGACTGTATTGATTTGCTTTACCCTTGTCCTCCTCATTCTCTCTCTTTAGTTCTGTATACTCTGTCTCCTTGGCTGACGTCCCCTGTTCTGCCGCCCGCTCTATTTGTTTCTGTATAAAAACAGCTGTCCTCTCCTCATCATCCATATCCATTTTCTCTTTCGCTTTCATCTGCTCCTGTTTCTTAATTGTCTCTGGATCGCGGTCAATATACTGAATGAACCAGCCTTTCTCTGTGTTGTCCACTACACATTTTCCTACAGAATCATTTGATTACAGGATAAATATGATATTATGATATGTGAAGATTAACTAGAAAACTGACCAGTCAGCAAGGGCCCCGCTGAGGAGTAGAAATATAAGGGTGCAGCTCAATGAATGAGAATTTTACTTGGTTACATTTTTTTTTATAAATATATAATATGAAGAGTAACAACTGTATTTTTTAAAATTTGAAGATAATTCCTGAATGTCCAAAAACCTGCATGCTGTAAAAAGTAACCTTGTATTTACAATAAAACAGGGAAAACCTCATGTTTTATTTAAAAAAAAAAACTAAATTAAATGTGTATTTTAAAAAGTTTTAAGCAGCTGTTTTATAATAAAATAATAAAATGCAAGCCTTCAGTGAATGCAAATATCACCCAGGGTTGACCTCAACTTCAAAACAAACATCAGTTACATACAAAGGTGTTCATTAATCTTCATGTGACAGATAAAGATAAGCCTCTAAATTTTCTGCTGCAAGCAAGATAATTAATCCCAGGGGATTAATTGTACTGCTCTCTCATCTTTTTCTTCTAAATTTACAATAAAAACTTTTTTCAGCACTGACAGAATGGGGTTATCATCTGATCACCTGTTAGAATTAACAGCATTAAGGCTGCAAAAAAATAAATAAAAAAATAAAATAGTAATAAATAAATAAAAAGGATATCTTAATATATATCTTGATTTCAGAAATCAATAAAATTATCATAAATCATTGTGTACAGTATTTTAACCAAAATAAAGTATGAACATTATTTTAAATCCATATTTCAGAGAATGTACACATCATTCAAAATTGACCTTAACTTCAAAACAAAGTTCATTTGCAGACAAATCTCAATGTGACAGATAAAGATAATGCTTAGGATTTTCTTCATGTGGAAGGTTAATTAATCCCAAAGGGCAAATTGCACAGCCTTCCCCAGTTTATATTGGTAACATTCTCAGAAGTTATCTCTCTTTGCCCATTCATTCTTATGCATAGTTCAGGAATCTACGTCACCACCCAGCTCAAAACCAGAAGACATAGAGAACCAAACTTAGCATCAAAATATGTATTTCTGCCTACTGAACTACCGTACCAAATTTGAACTTGATTGGGCAAGAATAAAAAAGTTATTAGAAAAAAACAGAAAATTTGTGGACGGAAGAATGACAGATGGACAGACAGAGTGATTACTATAGGGCACCCGCAAATTCTTGCGGGGCCCTAACTATATTTTCAGTCTGTTTTTCTTTCACCCAATATCAATACAAACTTCTTAAAAAAATCTTAATACATTCAAAACTTCATGTACTAGCTACATGTTCACAAATATTCTCAATTTGTATATAAACATATTTTAACAAAATTTTAATTACATTTAATTATATCCATTTATTCTGTTCTATAATAGGTGTCTTCTAGCTATTCCCACTTTTTAAAATTCTCCATTCCACCTATTCCCACTTGCAAATAACAATAGATGTTTTGATTAGTTAATTGGATTTTAAAGTAATTAGACTAATTACATCCCATCTTAGATTTACCTGTATTTTACCAGTATTTTGTACATTTTAAGACAGAAAATAAATGTATTCATAAAAAAATTATAATATTTAAAAAATAAAATAAATATATGAAAGAAATGCATATAAATAACTGAAGTTTAAAATAAATAAAAAGTTTAACAGAAAAATATACTAAAAATATACTTAAATTCATTTTTTTAAAGTATATAATTTATCTGCTATTTTTATTTGAAAAAGTCTAATTTCTCATTGAAATAGAAGTAAAAAGCCAGATTTTTAAATTTAAAATAGCAAATTTACCTGTCCTCTACTCCAACAGTGGTTTAATAATTACTGTTTTCACAGTAATGACATGTTTATTCAGCTAATTATTTGTTTACGCAAAAATTCCACCTACCCCCACATGAAATTTTACTTTTTTCTACCTGATTTTCAAAAAGTGGGAATAGCTTGAATAAACCCTATAATAATATCTGAACGTTACTTTTTTGCTTAGATGTATGTGAAGTATTTGAACAATTATGATAATGGGGGTCAGAAATTGATGTTGTTGAAACTCACTCTGTTGTTCAATGCTTTTCCACAAGTAAAACATAATAATTGGTAATATACAACTAGAGCCGAGCTCGTTGCAAAGCAACGAGTAGGTCTTCCGTCCTGTTTGACCGGAAGTAACTTTCATTTTAGAAAAAAAGAGTAATGAAGTCCAACAAGAGGCCCATGGGCCACATCGCTCACCTGAGAAGCTTTGACCATTCTGTTCTTTACCAGATTTCCTCCTTGTAATACATAATGCATCCCCACCCTACCCCACTGATCATAATTTAGACAATTTGAAATCTACACTGCCCTAGGATCCTTCCATGTGCACATAAGTTTCAGCTTTACTGGCCCAGTGGTTCTTGAGAAGAAGATTTTCAAAGATTTTTCCTATATATTTCTATGTAAAACTTTGATTCCCCATTGTGGCCCCGCCCTTCCCCCAGAGGTCATGATTTGAACAATTTAGAATCTACACTACCCCAGAATGCTTCCACATAAGTTTCAGCTTTTCTGGCCCAGTGGTTCTTGAGAAGAAGATTTTCAAAGATTTTCCCTATATATTTCTATGTAAAACTTTGATTCCCCATTGTGGCCCTGCCCTTCCCCCGGGGGTCATGATTTGAACAATTTAGAATCTACACAACCCAGAATGCTTCCACATAAGTTTCAGCTTTTCTGGCCCAGTGGTTCTTGAGAAGAAGATTTTCAAAGATTTTTCCTATATATTTCTATGTAAAACTTTGATTCCCCATTGGCCCCGCCCTTCCCCCTGGGGTCATGATTTGAACAATTTAGAAACTACACTACCCTAGGATTTTTCCACATAAGTTTCAGCTTTTCTGGCCCAGTGGTTCTTGAGAAGAAGATTTTCAAAGATTTTTCCTATATATTTCTATGTAAAACTTTGATTCCCCATTGTGGCCCCGCCCTTCCCCTGGGGGTCATGATTTGAACAATTTAGAATCTACACTACCCCAGGATGCCTTCACATAAGTTTCAGCTTTTCTGGCCCAGTGGTTCTTGAGAAGAAGATTTTTTAATGACCCCACCCTATTTTTGTCTTTTCTTGTTTATCTCCCCTTGTGAGGGAACTTGGCCCTTTATTTTAACAATTTAAATTCCCCTTCACCCAAGGATGCTTTGTACCAAGTTTGGTCAAAATTGGCCCAGTGGTTCTTGAGAAGAAGTCGAAAATGTGAAAAGTTTACAGATGGACAGACAGACGGACAGACGGACGGACAGCTAGACGGACAGACGGACAAAATGTGATCAGAAAAGCTCACTTGAGCCTTTGGCTCAGGTGAGCTAAAAATGGGTTATTCCTCCAAATATATGTTAAGTATAGCAAAATTAAGCCATTCTTGGGTACTTCCGGTTTGACCGGAAGTGACGACGACGGACGGAAAATTAATATTTAAGCTTCTAGTGACACATGTTACCCAAAAACCTGTCAAAAACGGCAAAAATATGCATTTTCTGACTACTTCCAGTTTGACCGGAAGTGACGTCGCCGGATGTATTTTGACGACCCCATTAGATAAAGCTTGATATTTTGAACAACTTTGCTTCTTTGATGTTTAACAAATTCTCAATACTTTTTGAGATATCTGGAAAAAAATGTTGGCCCCTCTAGGTCCCTTAATTTAGGGGTCAGCCCTTTTTTCGACATATCATTTGAAAGATCTTCTAATTCTGCACAAATTATGTTCTATATGTTTTAACAAAATATTTTTAGTTTAGAAGATAAAAAGAAAATTATGAGTAATTTTTGGTTCTTATAAGCGTTCTAATTTTTTACCCCTATATAGCGCCATTTTGAATAGAGAAATCGAAAAACAAAAACCGATGTGCACAACTTCAATCCTTCTATCATCTAAAATCAGTAGAATTTCTGCTCCAGCTTTAGCCGTCTCTGAGCCTTTGTCTGGAAACGAAAGCCTATAAATTTTCATTTAAAGGGAAATAACTCAAAACCGGAAGTGGCTTTTTGAAATTTTAGACAGCATTCTGATAGAGTTTATTAACGTCTATAACGTCTAAAAATTTGAGCAAAATCCGTTGAGAAATGAGCGAGATATGAGGCCTCAAAGTTGCGGTCTAGGAAGCAGAAGAAAAAAAAGAATAATAATCTTTACCAACAGAATCAGTAGAAGGTCTTCCGTTGGAAACAGAAGACCTTAAATATCTTCATAAAAAAATCCACTGACTTATAAGAGTTATACCTTCTCTTCCTAGCCATTTGACAAATTCTGTGAGTGACTCCCACTGTGTTGCATTCATGTGGACATGTTCTCGAAAAGCAATGTACTCCTGGTACACAATGTTACAGTGAACTCTTTTTGTACCAAATCTTCTCCTTAGCAGCTCCAAATAACCATCCATAAACTCTCTACAATTCAAGCCAAAGCAATTTAAAATTTGACATTTTGTAAATGATACAGATGGGGAGGGGGGTAGTAAAAGTATTGTATATATATGAATTTCTGAACAGGCCAGCATAAATATTTGTAAAGAGCCACAGACCATGGTGTCTTTTCTTTGGGCCATTTAATCAATAATCTTAGGCCAATCTGTCAGTGCCAAGGTGTTAGATGTGTTTGGAAGAGGTTTTGTTTGGCCACGAAGTCTGTGTTCTAAAAACCAAAAAAAAAAAAAAAAAAAATTACAAACTTACTTTGAGAAGTCATCGATGTATTGATCTGGATTTTCTGCAAACAGTAGCAGCTGCCTCTGATGAGACTCTGACATCATGTGACATTTAAATCCATTCTGAAAAAAAGAAAGAATAACTGAGTGTACAGGTAAACACAATTACACCACTTTTCAAACAGGTTCAGTAATAATTCAGAACTTGCATTTCATCATCAAGCAAATATGATGAAGGGTTATATAAGGCCTTTATTATCTTTTTTTCATAGTTTATTAATAATTTACCTAAAAGATTGAGTAATCTTTACAAATTGCATTTTTTGGCCCTGGTTTCCAAAGAATGTACATTAGATTGACAGGACCAATTTTTACACTTATTGTATATAAAAATTAAAAAAAATATTTCCGCCTTCACGAAAATTACTTTACATGAAAATTAAAGAGATAGAATTAGTCACTTACACACTTACCTCATCTCTGCATTGTTTTTGGCACATCTGACAATACCATCGCAATTTCTGTAAACCCTTCGCCTTTATACGATTAGCTATTGCTTTTGGTGTAAGAAAACCCCCTTTCTCTTTACCCATTTTTTTAAAAAAAAAATTGTGTTCGGTGAGAATACAACAAAAATGGAAATTTTCAGTTTGTAAAATTTGTAAACACTTGACTAGTTTCATCAATTTCCGGTTTAAAATTCAGCAGTAACACGTACGTAAAATATTTCCATTAATAGATTTCTTTGTTTTCAAATTTCATGTTCATTAGTATTTGTTGCTTGTATATAGGGAAAATATCGCTGTAACCTAATTATATAAAAAACTTTTTTTTTAAATTCACGGATCTTATTTTCTTTTTAATGAAACTTAAACTCGAAATAGTTTTAGAAAGCGTTACCATTTTCGTGTAGAAAAAATTGGAATGTCGCGGAAAAAGTTGTCTGCTTAATTTTCAAAGATATTGCGTAATACTTGGCCAAAATGCTGTCCACTTTGAGAAACTCCGTACTGTGGCGTTTTGTTGAAACCCAAGCCATAACATGTACCGCCTTTCGTATCCGAAGTTTCCAACAGCAGAGGAGACTCAATACCACAACCCGAATTTTCTCAGAGAAGGTACATGTTTTCTGTTCTAAATTGAGCTATAAAATATCAAACTCTCTACTATCAAGATATATTTTTTCATTTAATCAATTATAGTTGAATTATTTCTTTTATAGTATTTTGTTACATTTTATCAATTCGGTAAATTAGCTAGGAATTTGATTTGACATTGCCAGGAACTGGAAAAATTTTGCTTCCTTGAACTGTTGAATATGTGATGTATATGATATAAACAAAGTAATTCAATTTTTTTATTGGTTTTTCCTCATAGATTTTTTACTACATTTTGCAGATGGCCTGATTGGAAGATTTGATATCATTTTATTCTATGTTAAAGTTTGCAATCAATTTATAAATATCATGTTTCAGTATAACATCATTTTAATGGGAAGCCCAGGGAGTGGCAAGTCAACAGTAGCCCGCATCCTAGCCAACAAGCTGAACAAACCATCCATAGACATTGACAATGATGTGCTCGAGCCAATGTGGGGTAAAAAAATATCAGAAAAAGTAAGTCTTATGTGGCATAACACAATTTAAATTGATTTTTTGATATCATGTTTATGTAAATTTTAAGCATTTTATTTAATCTGTTAATATTATTATCTATCATGTATATCATGTGTATGAAAGTATAAAATTTAAGCCTTTTAGCACTGTTTAGGGTATGTTTTGATACAGGACACAAGTGAAGAATGGAGATTATACTTAGTAGAATTAGACTAAGCACACATAAACTTGCAATAGAAAGTGGTAGATATATTTCCACATCAAGAAATGAAAGATATTGTAATGTTTGCAATACTGGTGTGATTGAGGATGAAATACATTTTCTTTTTCAACGTAATTCTTATTCTAAGCTAAGAAACACATTCTTTAGTAATATTTATAACATAACAAAGAAAAATAATAATCTTAGCAATGAGAAATATATGTTACAATTATGTGTAAACAGTAATATACAAAAAGTCTTGAAAGTTACTGTTAAATTTATCAGAGACTGTTTTGAACTTAGAAGTCAATTACTTGACAATTCTTGAAAAAAATATGTAAACATTATTTAATGATGTTCAGTGGGCCTTTGCCAATTATTGTAATTGTGTTTGTGCCAATAAAGTATTTGTATTTGTATTTTTAAAAAAATGAGTATTTAATATATACAATTTATGATAAGGAAAAAAAAATTAAAATATATTGAATATTACATGCTAGAACATGTGGAAGTTAAAATAATAATAAAAAATTATATCTAATTCTTGAATATTACATATTTAGTAGTTTATACATGTACCAACTGTAGTCTGTATACATTTGCGTGCTATTTCAGTTAAAGGAAAAGGGATCTAAAGCTTTCATTGAAGAAGAAGGCAAGGCTTTAATGACTGTAAAAGCAGAGAATAGCATAATATCTCTAACTGGTTCCAATCCATTACATGATGAGGCTATGCGCTACATAGCTAACACAGGTTATGTTATTTTCTTGGACTATCCAGCTAAGGGAATTCTACAAAGACTTCATAAAATGAAAATAGATAGAATAGTGGGTCAGGAAATGGGAACCCCTCTCACAGACATTCTGGACCACCGACAGAGTACTTACGAACAAGCGTATGATATCCGAATTTTGTGTGAGGAGGACGAAAGTCCAGAATCTGTGTCAGAAAAAGTGGTTCAAGCATTGAAAGTGTTAGAAGAAGACCAAGGATACGTGTCGACCAGACAGGACGTTAAATCTCAGAGCCCACATGAAAGAACTACATTAGGTGAGATTCTGTTACAAGGACTGGCCCCAGATGGGGGGCTTTTTGTCCCAGCTCTTCAGATTCCATGTTTAACAAAGGGAGAATGGAGCCGCCTTGTTAACATGAGGTATCAAGACAGAGCGGTGAGAATCATGGAGAAACTTATTAATCCGTGTGATCTCCATCCATCCAAACTTAGACTTTTCATTGAGAAAGCATACAACACTGAGTTATTTAATGACGAGAAAATATTTCCTGTTCGGCACCTGCAAGACAATCAGTTTCTGTTAGAACTATTTCATGGACCTACCGGGTCGTTTAAAGATGGAGCTCTTCAGTTAATGCCACAAATGTTTGTAGATGCCTTAAAACACAGTCAGCCTATGAATAATAGCAGGTAGGTTGTTGTTGAGTTGTAATTATATGAGATCTTTTAAAAGTGTTAGAACTGTAGAACCTCGTACATGTTCATCTGATTTAGTGTAAAATGTGATACATAATCATGATTATAAATGTGCAAAAAAAATTTAAAAACATTTTTTTTTGAAAATTAAATGTTCACATGCTGATTAGTGATTGCACATAGACCTGTTTGACATACATTGTCTTTCAGGTCTTGAAATAGTTACACTGTATTCTTATACTGTATTTCTGAATTTTGCTTGATAATTTTATTTTTTTATGGTTAAATTGTTTTAAAAACCCATTTTGTATTCTTTAGTGACATGTTCTTTCTGAGTTCCTAGCTGTTGTCAGTTTATTAATAATCTGATTAAAATCAAATCATTTGTCATGTTTCCGAATTCTGATAGGTTTGTTCAGGGACTATCACAATTTTGGCACAATACAAATATCTGCTGTTTAACAAATTGCTGTTGATCATTTTAAGTATGGATTATTACATAAATTGCATGATCATATTTTCATATACTTATTAACATGATTAACTTGCTGTTTCTGTAGGTATATTATTTTAGTGGCTACATCAGGAGACACAGGGGGTGCTGTCCTCGACGGATTCCGCAGACATGCTGGTAATATTATCTGATACAGTGTCTCTTGTGAATTATGTCACTTTAATATATCATTGTATATCATGTAATACACTCTATAAATGTAATGATGTTACATTAGTGAATTCTACTGTTGAATTGATATTGTTATCAACAATGAAATATGATGGAAAGATGATTTTTCTGGAAGGTTGGAAAGGGTTGGTAATAGTGAACAAAGAAGTATTTAAAGCTAAAATTGAAAAAAAATTAAAATGCTTGTACAAATTATTCAGTATTGTCATTTTATTACAGTAAGACCTTGTATATGAATTGTCATAAGTATAAAGCAGTCAAATTTATCTTGTTTATTTCTAATTGATGGATGACAAATCACTTGTTTATTACAGAGGGAAGTGGAGTGGGGGTGATTGTGCTGTTCCCAGAACATGGAATCAGTGAGGTACAGAGACTTCAGATGACATCCATGAGTGGAGGCAATGTGCAGGTGTTAGGTGAGACTCACTGACCCCTCCCCCCTCCCAAACACACACACATAATGTACCCCCCCCCCCCCCACCAAATACACACACATAATGTACAGGTGTTAGGCAAGACTAACATATACTATTCAGTTCTTAGGTTATAGTCATTACTGATGATATTAGAATGTACATTACTTAAATGAGATATTATTGACCCTCCCATAATGTACCAAGGCTAGATAAGGCATCACTGCCTCTCTTAGGATGTACAAGTGCTAAGCAGGACATAACTGAAGCTCTCAGAATGTACAAAGTCATAAAGTAAGTCAATAATAACCCTCCTAGAACACATAGAAAGACGAGGGAAGGGGATCATAAAGGCCAAAGTCATTTCATGTTGAAAGGGGAAAAATAATTTGTAACGAGGTCTCTAGATCACATATGTATTTGATGGTGCAATTTAAGATTTTCCAATTAAAATGCTCTGACATGGAATCCTCAAAATGAATTGAAGACACATAATGCCAACCAAGGAAGCTGTGTTATTTTCTACCCACTGATTCAACAGTTTCATTCCACAGAATAATGGCCCAAGAGAAAAAAGAACTTAAATTTATGGTGTAGCAGAGTTGAAAAAAGTGGGTATATATGTGTTGTAAATAGTGAGGACAACTAGAACTTAAATTTATGGTAACAGGTTTTAAAAATCAATGTTTGCTTTTAATTTTTCCTAGGTATTGATGGAGATTTTGATCTCTGTCAGGCTATGATAAAGAAAGCATTTCAGGATCAAGACCTTGCCAGCTGGTTGGAGGCCAATGGGAATTTCAAACTGAGGTATAAAAAGTAAGCACCTGCATAACACCATCAGCTAAGTTTGAAGTTATAGATTTAGTTTTAATCCACTTCATGTTTTATTTATAGTTCAGTTTGTATTGAGTTAGAAATAGTTGTAGCCTTTTTAGCTCCTAAGAGCGGAAGGGTCAAGTGAGTTTTTCTGATCAAATAAAGTCTGGTGTGACCATCTGTCTATCTGCATGTCACATGTTGTCTGTTATATATTATACAATCTGGACTTTTCTCCAAAACAAATAAATTGACCAATTTCAACCAAACTTCCATAAAGTATCCTTGTGTAAAACGGATTTAAGTTTGTTGTGTACAAGAAGTGTCACAACCTCTTTCAACTCTTGAAAGTTTAGAGACATATTTTAAAAATCTTCTTCCTAAAAAGCACTTAGCAAGAAAAGATGAAATGTAAGTAGAAGTTGCTGCTGCTGTAGATTCGGGAAGTAGAATCTTCAGGTGGTGAAAATTCAAGTTTTTAAAATCATGAAATCAATTCATGAGTTAGGGAGGGGGGGGGACAACAAAAGGGGAATAGAGTAATACACATTTATTTTATAAAGAAAAACATTATAAAATTCTTTTTTTCAAAAACAGCAAGGCATGATAAGAGATATCATTTAAATTCTCTCAAGAACTGCAAAGACATGAACAGTCAAATCTGTATACATGCAATCATCTGCTGATAGCGTAGATTAAAGTTTGTTCTTGATCATATAAAATGGGGCAGAAATGGGAGAACAAAATTTTATGCAGCATATGGGTTATTGGTAAGAGTTGAATCAAATAAAGCGTGATATTTACATACTAATCCTATTATATAGTTAATTCTTTGATTAACTTTTATTTCATCATTTCTTCATTATTTTATATCATTTGATATTTTCATCTCATTTAACATTGATATTTTCATTTCATTTAATATTGATATCATATATCTGCTTGAGTGGTATGTAGGAAAAATATTTATTTGGAAGAGTGTAGTTAGGTAATATAATGTAGTGATTAATATTGCTTTATTATTAACATCTCAATATATTCTTTTATTCATTTTAAGAACATGCACAACATAATTGTACATATACTTAAATGGGGGGGGGGGGGTTGCACTAAAAATTACCTTTAAATTACCACTAAAATTGTACATGCAGTACCATAAGAGTTTTTTTTACAAAAGAGTCTGTATACATTACAGACTTTACCAGACTTTTGAACAAATAGCAAAATTAATGAAAATCTTTTTTTTTTTAAGGCTCCAACATTGAAAAAACTCTAAAATTTTGCAGTAAAAGAGAAACATAAGTTCAAAACTATGATCATGATGATGTGTATGTCCTTATATATAATTGCACATTTGGTTAAAATACATACATGTACACGTACTACTTTACTTGACTAATGATCACATTAATTAAAACTTATAATTAAAAATAAAAAAAAGTATTTCCTTATAATACCATACTGTTAATTGCTTCAAAAACAAAAGGTATAAATCCAGGTTAAACAAGTTCGAAAACGACGGTAAATTAAAACATTTTTTCTACCATAATAACCATTCCATGTCTTTGTTTGCTCTGAATACATAGGTTCAACAAACATTCTTTTGTTTTATGTGTATTTTGACTATTACAGCGCGGCTAACTCCATCACCTGGGGCCGTCTCCTTCCTCAGATCGTATTCCAGGTGTCCTCCTACCTTAACCTTGTAGAACAAAAGGTCATCTCTCTCGGTGATGAAGTGGACGTTTCCATACCAACAGGCAACTTTGGAAATATACTAGGAGCTTTTTATGCTCAGGTAATTATTTACACTCTGATTTAATTGTTTAAAAGTTTATTTTATATATTTTTGATTTGGTTAATTACAATTAATCTATAAATATATTAAAAGTGATGGAAAAATGTGTAAAAGATACTGAACTTGCCACACAATGTTTTAATTTTTATTATTAATCATGTTAATAATCACAGGGATAAATGTCATTAAATTTCATCATAAGAACAAATTCATAATAAGTGTTTCTACTTTATCTCTGTTTTACAATACAATATATGTTTATATTTAAATAAAGCAGTATCTTTACTAGATATTGAGTTGTATGTACTAAATGCCAAGATTCTTAAGGGACTCCGACCCTCAGCCAGGAAGGACAACTCTTTAATTTATAATTTAATTCAATAAATCTTTAAATGAAGCTTGAAAATTAAATCTTTTCATGCAACAATTTTCATTATATGCCTCTCAATGTGCTTCAAGGTTCTTTGCAAATCTCCATAAATTACTTCTAATTTCATATCATGTTAATAAACATTGGTATCTAAAAATGCTTTTTCAGGATAAAAATTTCTATTTTTAATTAGACCTTTCTGAGATTTAATTTTCAAGCTTCATTTAAAGACTTTTTGAATTAAATTATAAATTATAAATTAAAGAGTTGTCCTTCCTGGCTGAGCGTCGGAGTCCCTTAATTTTTAACTCCTCTATATTAGGCCATGGGAATTCCATTCAGAAGACTTATATGTGCGTCCAACACTAACAACACCCTAACAGAATTCATCAACTCTGGAAAGTACGATATACGATCCCGTCAACTCCAGAAGACTCAGTCGCCGGCCATAGATATACTGAAAGCCTCGAATTTAGAACGCTTCATCTATCACATGTCAAACAGGGACTATCAGCTAGTACGCAAATGCTTCAAGGACCTTGAGGAAAATCAGTGTTTTGAAGTGACTGGCCAGGTTTGTGCAAAAATGAATGATGAAAAGTTGATTCTTGATATTTGTTCTTGGGAATTCAAATAAAAATTCGAATTTAATTGTATAGACTTTTCCAAGTATTAAAGTATATGAACATATGTTTTGTATGTATATGATGCAGTCAAATGTAGAAGTTAAAAAAAATTTTATAATAAAATCTGGAGGGCTTACTTGTGGGTAAATGGTGCTCTGAGGCTGAGTGTTTACAAACCATTAAAAAGTGCTTTGATAAAACAGGTACGGTACACATGTAGGTAGGGATGTGCGATTTTATCGGTATACTGGTATATCGCGATGTTTTGTTGTGTGATACGTATTATACCGGTATTTAGGTAATATTATAAACAAGAATTATTATTATTTGGTAAAAATTTCACTCACAGAAAGTCTAAAAAATGTCGCAAAAGGTGAAAAGAACGGCATCTTACCATCCAAACATGATTAATTTTATGTACATAAGGGTATCTAAATTTAATTCCCTGGACGCCAATTTTCTCCAAAACAGATGGGAACATTTTATTTTTCATTTTTTGGCAATAAAGTAGATGAGGGAGGTATTTTTTTTAATTTTAATTTGAATTTTCTTTAACATAAGGCCATATAAAATTGAAATCAGGCCCGTGCGCATCCGTTTTCACATATCCGGATTGCCAAATTGAAAAAATAAAAAGTTGGTAGGAACCTCCGGGAAAAAAAAGCATTTGTTTCGGAGTTTAGTATTCAAATGAGTAGCCATTTACCAACTGTAAATGTACAAATGCATAATTAAGCAGAAATTTTGACCAGTGGAAAGTATATCTGTGATTAAAAAAATTATCTTTATGTTAAAGAACATCAATATATACCTCCCTCATCTACTTTATTGCCAATAAAATGAAAAATAAAATGCCGCCCACCCACATCTGTTTTGGAGAAACAAAATTATTTTATAGCCTAAAGATAATTTTTTTAAATTATACTTTCCAATTTCTGGTAAAAATTTCTGCATTACATTGCTTAACAGCTTAAACATCGTAGGTAATGGGAAAATAAGTTGCCAAAATCTCATTGTAAATGGCTACCGTAAGTGTTATTTGAATACTAAACTAGGAAACCATTAAAAAGTGCATTTTTTGACAAAACAATGCGGCTACCTCAAAACGGATGCGCGCGGGCCTGAGAACCAAAATTTCAATTTTATATGGCTAAAATATTTAAAACTGAAATTTTGTTTTTCTAGCATATTTAAAAAAAAAATAATGAATATATTTTAAAAATAAAAACTCATGATATTATCAGTTTTGAGTGATATATTGCTATTTTTTTTACATGTAGGTAGACACATTGAAATAAGAATATATTTTAAACTTGAGTTTGTGTTTTATTTTCATCAACTGTAGTCCTTTTATTTACCTATTCCAAATGATGAAATATCCACCAAGCAAATTTTTTTTTTCTCAAAAGAGAAGAAATTTTGTATGCTTTATCTTAGAAATTTTGTATGATTTATCTTAGAAATTTTGTATGCTTTATCTTTAAAATTTTGTATGATTTATCTTAATTTTTTTTTCATGTTTAACATAAGAATATTGAGGTAATCCCATGATGTCTTCTTTGCAGGATATCTACTGGATCCACACACAGCGATCGCGAAGTTTGTGGCAGATCTTGTAAATGACGGAGATGTTCCAATGATCATCAATGCTACGGCCCACTACTCCAAATTCATACCTCAGGTTTTACAGGCCCTGGGACGTAAAAAAGACATGAAGGACAAGTCGGTGTCGGAATTGTTTGAAATGGCCCACAAAATCACCGAAGCTCCCAGCATGCATAGCAAATTAGAAGAATGTGTGAAGTCGGCATCTGTCTGTGAAAAAGTGCTAAAACCAAACTACGAGGATGTCGAGAGAGAAATCAAAATATTCTCCCATAAGATTTAGAGGCTCTTTTCCCCCTTTGCTTTTATCAATGTGTAAATCTGTATGCATGTTTTCTGTCCTATGTATATTTTTCCCAGTGTGCTCCAAACTACATAAAAACACACTACTTTCTATAGTGATATTTTTTTTCTTAAAAACAATCAATTGAAATGTGCCATTGAAAACTGTGAAGACAAATGTAGTATATTTTCAGTACATGAAATGTTAATTAATGGTAGTATAAGTCATAGTTTGCTTGAATTCAATATACATGTTCCTTATTTGACAAAAGAAGGAGTTCCTGTAGCATTTTTAACAGAAAAATAATTAATATTCGTTTATAAAAATTCTACAAATGGTGACAAATTCCTTTATTTCTTGTTGTGTATATAATTTCTAGACATTTATTGAAAATGAAGCATGACTTGATTTAAAAAAATATGATATCATGTCACCTTTCTTTTTTAAGAAAGCCAACTTGTTAATATTGCATGCAGTTCTGATTTACTTAGATTAAAAGTGATTCTATGTGTAAAATTTCTTCAATGTTACATTTCAATAAATGACATGTAATAATTTCTTAGTAGCATGTGAAAAATAAAACAATGATTTCCTTTTATTGATAAGTTAATTAATATTATGTCTACTAGAAAAGTAAAAGAACTCAATATGCTCTATAATTACAAAAATTTCAGTCCAGATTTTGTTCAATTCTGTACTGTCCCAAAATTCCATAGAATTAGCCCTGAAATATCTTTTACAAAAATGTGTATGTATTTTTAAACTTTCTATTGAAAAACTTATTTTCTTCAATAATGAGTTATGAAGTTTAAAGATTCTCACTTTAAAACAATTCCAGTAATACCATATAATCCCTATTAACCGCCTAGGGCACTTAGATAATCCACCCAAATTATTTTAAATTATTTATTTTCAACCGAGAAATTGGATAATAGACAAGTTTCATTTTCACTTTCTTTATATGTATGATATGATTCTAGATAATTTTAATCACTGTACAGGGGGGCCCTTATTTCCTGACAATTGAAAAAGACTTAAAGAGGACAGGGCAGGGGCGGTTAATAGGGATTATATGGTAATTACTTATTGTTTTGTTATGTTATTTTTCCCTACCATCCGAAGCACTTCCCTACTTACAAAATAGATTAACATCACTGGTTCAGTTTTTAAAAAAAAAGAAAATGAGAACAAATTTTTTTAATTCATCATAAATTTTCTGGAAGATATAAATATGAAATAAAGTTAATTCTTATTATCTAACAATCATAATACATGTATCATTAAAATATTCAAAGTTTGTGCATGTGTCAATGATAATAAAAATATGAAACCGACTTGTACATTTCTATGGGTTTTTATTTCCTTTTTATAAATTCCAAAGAACTCTTCTATTTTACACCAGACATGTTTGGTCGATGCACTTCTGCTGGAATGAATTCAAGATCCTAATACTTCATCCTAGTCCATTATGCTGCCATTTTTCAACAAATCTGATTTTAAGCTGTTGCATACAAAACGTTTTAAATTCACATTAAATTGAATCAAAATTTGAGAAAAAGTTGATAAAAATAGAAGTAAACAATTTCTCCCCACAAAAGTCTGTGTACTATAAAGAATTTTAAATTCTAATACATAGTTACCAATTTGTTATTGCAGTGTTTTTAACTGTCACCTTCTTACATCAGGCAATGAATCACCTGGTTCCCTTGAAACCATAATTTGTTTGTCTACTAAATTTTTGGACCATCCTCATTTTTTTTTAATATTGTCACATTTTTCATGTGACAGAATAGACATAATAATTTTTTACTTTGTAGTTTTAATTATTTATTTTTGAGACACACACTGTATAAAGTACATGTATTTAGTAATACTATACTTTTGGAATTACATGTATAACAATGTTTTTCAGTAATTTTTAATTTTTTTTCAATTCTCAAAGGAATTGTTTACAAACTCCTTCAAATTTACGAAAGAACAATGAATATATTTTTTAGTTTGATTACATGTAAATGGTTTGACTTGTTTAGTTCGAGACCCTGTTTTATGAAAGAATTCACTTCATTTAATTACTGACATTATCTTACCATGTTAAATTAATTGTAATTGAAAGATTACTTTTTAATTATTAAGCAAATTACACTTGTACCTATATTTAAGAATAGTTTTATGAATATTTATTTTCACATTTAAATAAGAAAGAAAAATGAAAAAAGCGAATTTCACTAATTAATTCTATCGTCTATCTCATTCTTAAGTTCTTTTATAAAACAGGGTTTTGGCCTCGGGATCATGAGACATCTTATGCATAAGTCAAAATCTTTATGTCATACTAAAACAGCATGGAATTCAAGTAGACCAAAACGGAAATTTTTTTTTTTTAAATATTGCTCTTTGAAAGTATTATTGTCTGCAAATTTAGAAATTAATTTTAATAATGAATGACCTTTTTACAGTTGATTGATTGAACATTTAACTTAAATCTAAGTCTGTTTCATGATTCTTGGACCTGGTCTATGTCATCCATTGTAAAAATTGATGAGAAAGGAAGAGTTAGATAATAAACTGTATTTATAATATCTGAGTTCTGGCTTGTGTACTGATTGTTTGTTGCAAGCAATTGATATCGCATTCTGAAACATTTCTAGTTGTTAAGTCTAGAAACAGACAAGAAAGGAAAAAATTGGAAGATATGAATTTAAATTTTTAAAATTTGAACTAGAATGCAGTGTAATTGTGAAACATGGAAACTGAGTCATAGGAAACATATGTTGTATGATTCACCTTTAAATGTTACATGAATTAAAAAAAAAATTATTTTTTTGGCTGTATAAAATTAATTTAGAAATAATCCAATTTTTAAAAAATAATGCTTATGAATAATTATCCAATAAAAATGTCGTTGTATTCCATGGCCTTGGTATTAAAATGCAATGCACAGTTTTCTTTAAAAAAAAAAAAAAAAACCAACAAAGCCGCCACTCTAAGATGGCTCTTTAGTAAATACATGTACATGTACTAGTACTCTTTTTGTTTCTTGGATGTTTATTTGCAATACATGTATGGTGGTAAATCTTCATTAGGCAACAAACTGTTTAGACAAATTTATTTTTTTATGACTAAAAACTTCGAAAAAATAATCCAGAACAGAATATTTAATCATTAAACTGCTTGTTAAGCTGCTTTTGCAGGCCTGTTATACAAGTGCCCGGTATGTTAAGGAGGGGAATGTCATGGTCCTCGGGGTTTTTCAGAATGTCTGTTACTAATTTGACCATTGTGTGGAAGCCTTTTTGATCACAGGTAGGTTGGAGAATTTTCAGCAGCTTAGTGAGGGATGATGATAGAAAACTGAAAAAAAAGTTTGTTATCACATGAAAAATGTTGTAATCACATAAAACAAGTTTGTAGTCACATTAAAAAATGTAATGTTTTTAATCATATAAAGAAAAGTGTAATCTTATTGTAAAAAAGGTACTCTAGCTACTTTTATTATAATGCTGAAAAATTTTTGTAAATGTTTAATTTTATTTTGGAAAGTAAAAAAAAAATGATTTTATTGGGAAAATGTTGCAAAAACATTTACCGGTATTGCATGGAGATTATTTATTTTTACACCATTGATATATCGGCATGTGTTATAAATATTTGACAGTCCAACATTTGGTTTTAATCCCCCCTTTCCGGACTTACGGGTATTTTTATTGTATTTTCACGTTGTTCTCGTCACAAAAATTATTGCACAAATTGTAATAGGCCCGATATGTCTTTTAAAGACATTTATGACAATTGTTATATATGTCAAAATGAGCATTTGACAAGAATAAGCCAATTATTATTCAGAGTTATCATTCATTACAATTTATTTGAGGTATGGCTTTGATATTATTTGTGATTTTTTGTGTAATTGGGATTGGTAGTAGGGGTGCTGTAATTTTTTTTTTACCTGCATATCCTTTTTTGTGCCTCTTTCTCCGTCATGTCCTCTGGTGGCTCGGAGATATCCGGCATGTTAGATATTCCCCTGACAAAGCTTCCCCTTACTTGCTTGTCATTTACACAAGGCACCAGTTTGTTTAATTCTATAAACATCAATAGTATGATTAACATATAAAGATGACAACGCCAATCATTTTAATATGTTTTGAAGTTTATTGATTTGTTTTGCATGTCAAAGTCAATATTTAATTGTATAAACAGTCATATAGATACATGTGTAGAGGTTCACATATTAAATGTTTATTTTATGTTCACTCTGTATAAAAAATGGATCAAAATAATATTTATGAGAATGCATACTTTGTAATTTTTCAAAATCCTACATTGAACATTTAGTACATAACTCTTTTTTATAAGTTGCGCTACAGAAACGATTGTCAAGTTGGAAGTTTTTAACCTTACCTTTTGCAGTATTCCCAGAACACAATCTTTTGACGAATTTATCTCCTGCCATATAGTTATAAGAAAGGCCTACATCACCGCGTTTGTTATCCATAATTCTTGAAAAATTTTAAAAAAGACCATCCATTTAACATGTTGATAATTAAATTATATTTTTATACAGTTTTACTGACAGATTGTAAATGAAGCAGAATTTACATTATATCCTGATGAGCATGAGATAAAAGATACCATAGAATCTGACACATCGGTTTCATATATATATTTGGAAATTTTCCTTGAACAAGTTGTTAATGGTAATCTAAAAACAAAGCTCTATGATAAATGTGAATATTTTAACTTTAATTATTGAGTCAAATGCAGACTGGCCTTTTACATACATATTGTTAGTCCATTTTTTATACACCGAATTGACGACGGTTTTTGAAGGCCCGTGTTTGCTCTGCTCCTATTTTGGTATTGTGTAAGGGACTTTGATATTGAATACTGTTCGTTATCTCCATTTGTAACATGTGTATGCTCCCCAGACTAACTAAAATAGCCCATCACAGAATTTATTTTGAAAGGAAAGAAAAAGAGGAAAAAAAATCTTAAGTTTAACTGAATTGTCCTACTTAATATATTTTGATGGTGGACAAAACAGCAAAGATTTCCCTTGTATGGAGTTGTATATGTTCAAAAAATATTTTAAAATTCAGTGAATATGCAAGTGTATCATTCAACGAGCGGTTGCTTGCACAAGTCGTTTAGGTTGGATTAAAAAAAAAAAAAGAAAATCCTTGATGTGCAACCATAAAAAAATTAGCATACTGAAAGAAGTGACTTTTAAATTTAACACTTTTAAACCACAAAGAACTTACTCACAATAACCTGTAAAGAAATCTGCTGGAAATTGATACTCTCCATTGATTATGTCTTGTAATTCGGGAAAATATCGCCTAAGATTCATGCTTTCTTGGAATTTATCTTTGTTGTTTTCGGTGCAGTCTGTGCCATCTTTAGAACACGTTTCTTGTTGACATGATTCTAGAAATAAATAAAACAAATTCATATGATCACAGTGAAATAAGGTCTTTAAAAAATTGAATTAATCGTTCAATTTTATATCATATCTAGATGTGAATTGAGGTTTTTTTTCTTCAATGTTTACGTATAATTTAACTTTGAATTTGCAGCTACAAAACTCAATGTAAACATTAAAATTAAACAACTAAGGACAGATGATACAAACAATTTTTTTCTTTGGAGGAGACTTAATATCATGTCTCAAGTTTAGAAAAGTGGATAATTCTTAGAATTTTTTCTCTAAAAAACTGGAAAATGAGATAGACTTGGAAAATTTTAGTAACATTTCAATAAAATTACAAATATGGATAAAACACACTCAGTAAAGGTTTACAGATGAAAATAAATTTTAGAATATGTTATATTGGTGTTAAAAGTACTATATAATCTTTAGAAAAAGTATACCAAGCCAGGTGAAATTTATCAGGAAAAGCAAAATAGTAAAATTTAGCGTATAAGATATTGATGAATATTTGTCATTTTGTTTTTCTTCCTAAAAATCACCTGGCTTGGTATATTGTTTTAAGGTTTATATTACACTTTTAGCACTAAGATAACATATTCAGAAATTTGTTTTCACCTGTAAACCTTTACTTAGTGTGATTTGTCTATTTTTGTTTTTTCATTGAAATATTAATAATATTTTCCAAGTCTATTTCATTTCCAGTTCTTAGGATAAAAAATTCTAAGAATTATCCACTTTTCTAAACTTGTGACATGCTAAATATATTAAGTCTCTTCCAAACAAGATATTTGTTTGTATCATCTGTCCTTAAGTCAACATGAAAATTATAGTATTTCTATGTACTTCTTGTGTTTTAATTGCATGACTTACAGTTATAGTTATATTTAAGGAGAGAAACTCGTTAGTTGTAAGAAGTTGTTTCTGATCCATTTGATTAAGTGCAATGAAATTCGTTCAAAACAGATTAAAATTATTGTAAATCTACAACACTTTCGTGAAATAAGTCTAATAAATATATCAGGGAATAATAATAATTTTAAATTTAAAACCTTGCATTTTACAGCATTCTTGAATGTATTTAGTTTATTAAAGATATCAGGATTTTCTTACCTGAGATAATTGATAATATTATGCAAACAAATCTAATCGTCATCATCTCTTATTTGTAAAACACTTGTATAGCACTCTATGTCCAGATATACCAAGGGTCTTGTAAGTGGGTTACTGACTACAACGGACATCCTCTATCCTTTATCATTTCCGCAAACAGCTTAGGAAGTAAATATCCCGGGTATGACATGTACATATATGGTTAAGGGTTAATGGGCAAAGTATTTGTTTTTTTTTTTGTTTTTTGTTTTTTGTTTTTTTTTTTAATAATTTTTATTTATTTATTTATTTGATTGGCAATCGAATGTGTTCCAACATTTTTGGTTTAATCATCTAAAACAAAACATTTTATCCATGTAAAAAAAAAATCCATTAGCAATGTTCAGTATTGATAGTTTTGGTTTTTTTTTTCAACGTTCATTACCTTGTTTTTTCCCTTTTATTTCAAGAGACAATCTTAGCTTAGCTTTGTCGATTATCATCGTCTTAGCTTAACCTTCTTAGGAGATATGGAGGACAGTTGATTATAGGAGAAAGGTTGCTCGCATGTTTATTTGCTTTTTAAAAACTGCATAAAACATGTAAGAAAGAAAAGGTAAGAAAAAATATCAATTTCAGCTACTCATTGAATCTAAAAAACTAGTGTTTTTTTTTTAACCATTTGAAATGATAAATGTTTATGAAAGTCATCATTTTTTTAATTCTAGATCTTTTTTGGAAAATTATAATATTAATTTCAAGTTCATAAACGTTGATTATAAAAAAATTCATTTGACAAATTCTTAAATTTAGTTCATGAGTTTGAATTTTTCCCCATGAATGTCCGGCATTCATAAGAATAGGAAAACAAAATACGTCTTCTTTTTCTTTTTAAACAGTCACTATGTCTGATTCTTCTTCACCCTTTATCTTCTGTGTTTGATGTTTGTTTACAGGTGTTTTTTTAAACTTGTATATTCGTTTTGTTTTGTTTGTTATTTGAGTTTCCCTGCCTCTAAGTGTAGCTGAAGTTGAGGAAGATTGTGGTCAGATACTCAGTTGAATTAAACATGTACGTAATTGAGGGAATTCATTGGTATTAAATGATATTTCCCCCTCTTCATTTTTTAAGGAATACTGTAGAAAAGAGGGGTTATTTCATGGGTATTTCATTTATCCTGGTGAGCTTGAAATAAAAGATACCACAGAGTGAGTCTGACACATCTGTTTCATACCGGGATATTTTACTTGAAAAAGATGTTAATGGTAATTAACAACCAAGCTATATGATAAACGTGATGACTTTAACCTTTCTATCGTCACTTTCCTCACTTATGCAGCAATATACCTTCTTTACCTGCATACGATGTGTATATATCTCATGTGATTCGATACGCAAGAGCATGTTCTACGTATTAACACTTTCTAAAACGAGGTAAATTATTGACAAGCAAGTTGATGAAACAAGAAAATCAACAGTCTCGTTTAAAGTCATCATTTCGGAAGTTCTATGGTCGATACAATGACCTTGTCAGCAAATACAATTTATCATTGAGTAAAATGCTGACTGACGTTTTTCATACCAATTGTTAGTCCATTATTTATACACTGAATTGACGACGGATTTTTCCGTTATTTTCTGATCATGACAAGGAGCACACAGTGGGTGTGACCGGTCAGCAGAGGATGCTCACTCCTCCATGGCACTTGATCCCACTTCTGATGTTTTGGAGGTCCGTGTTTGCTCTGCTTCTATTTTCATTTTTGTATTGTTTTATGGACTTTAATATTGAATACTATTCGTTATCTCCATATCCTTCTTATAAGGTTATAAGGTTAAAAACCCCACAAAACTTTACCTCAAAAAGATTGTTGATGCATCCTTTGATTCGCTTTATTTATTTATTTATTTATTTATTTTTTGCGTAGTTTAGTGGGAATCCCAGTTTTAGTTGAATTGTTAAACATGTATTCTAACAATAGATAATTTAGGTTTTTTTTATTTAATATGTCTTTTCGTCAGTCAGTGCCTTTCATTTTTTAACTTTTAGCTGAAAAAATTACTGACAAGTGATCATTTATCTTAATTTTTATTGTAATGTCTAATAAACATACATGTAATGAAATGATCAAGTATTATACCTCTCTACCTATATCCATATATTGAATTGTTTATAATGTTTTAACATATTAATTAAAACAGTTTTTCTTTACATTTGATTGAATAATTGCTGTAAACATGGTAAATGGTTAGTGAAAAAAGTCATAAGTTGTCATGATATGAACAAAAAAAGTTTTTTTTTAAATTTTCAAAGATCTTTGGAAATTTTAGGAATCTTCATTTGAATGACAAACACACTTCTTGAATATGCAGTGGCTGAAGATTTCCCTTGCAATTGATATTTCTATGAAGGGTAGAGAATATGCCGGATCGACAATGTTTCTCTCTTAAGTTTTTACATGTATGTTAGGAACAGTAATGGTAGGGTAGATTGAACACACCTCCATTCTCTAAAATATTGAAATATTTCAAATGAAAGTGATAATATTACGAATTTATTCCTTTGAATGTAAACTGAAAGTCGTAAACGTTTAATTTTCAGATGTAGCAATCAATTAACTGAATTCATAAATATAAGCCCCAGAAACAAGGTAATAAAAGTATTGTGAGCTGAAACCAGAAAATACACATGCACATACATGTAGTTCATTTAGGTTTATAAATACGAATAAAGGTATAAAACATTCCGGAGAATTCAAATCGGAAATAAAGTTCTGATTTTCAATTTAATTTTTTTTTCAATTTATTTATAGCTACATAGATACAGATGACTTTTTTTTATCGAACAACAAATAGCAACAAATGAAACTATTTGAGTTTGAGGATTTTTTGCGAAAGTTGGCAATCTGTAAAGCTTTGTATCTTAATAAATTAGAAAACTCAAAACCCAGTACTTTGGAAGATTTGGAGCATTCAATATTTAATAAGTGGCATTGTGCCAATTTGTAAAAGTTTTCTAACTTTGATACCTTGCACATTTGATTTAGACAAATGTCAGTTTTAGAAAAGCATATTAGTCATTAGGAGTCTAACTTCTAACTTTGCACCAAATTTCATCAAAATATGACAACCTTAAATTAAGAAAATATTGCAAGGTTTTTCTCGCAGACTGGCTCATAGGAGAATTCTGTTCAAAACGTTCAATAAGTGGGCACGAGGTTTGTGCTAAGAAGTAACAGCTTTTGAATATCTTTAGGAAATGCAGGATGTAAATTTCAAATATGGAGAAATGCAATACGACTATCTATGATTAAGAAATCAATGTTACTATTGATCATAGCATTGATGTAAAAAAATGACCTAAAACCGACAGGTTAAATCATATCTCTTGATGCACATGGCGACGTAAATAACCTATGCTTTACAACATCTATAATCACAAAAAACTAGCTTGTACTCTGCAGTGAAAGAATCTAAGTTTAGACTAGCTTGAACATTTTCCAATAAATATACTCCAATCAAAATTTTCAAGAGTGAAATTGACTGATTAAACCTTTCTTTCCATTGTTCCGATCCAAATTGATGAAATTTGTTCCAAAATCTTATATACGTGAAAAGAAGAAAACACTTGCTGTGACCATAAACTCGACATCTATAGATATATCGACAACGTATTGTCAATTAACAATATTTATTTCCATTCGTATGTCGATACGATATTATACAGTTATTGCTGGTTTTTGAGGTCAATACAATGATTTAGCCATCTGAGGAGTACAATATTCACCGAGCCCGAAGGGCGAGGTGAATATTGTACTTCGAAGATTGCTAAATCATTGGACCGAAAAAACAGCAATAATTGTTTTATTATATGATTCACTGATAAAATGATACAGCTTATTTTATTAAGTCCTAGCCAAATACAAGAGAGATGCAGAATTAAAATGTGAATAAACCTTACCATTTGTATCAATTTGAAATGTTTTGTTTAATCGATTTTAGTTGCCATGAAAAAAATATGTAATGTCAGTCTTTTTTATTGGATAGATTTTGAAAGGAAAGAGTATTATCAGGGAAAACTGACTGCCAAAAAGTAAAAAAAAAATGTTGTTCAGTAAAAGTGTTGAAGGGGGGTCCCTGCATCCCCTCTTACCACCCTCAGCTAAAATATATATTCTCTTCTGTTTTTGTTCACATGAAAATAAAAATCATAGTCGTTTAAGTAGCGTTCTAAAACAATTTGTATCAATTTGGAATTTCCCAATCTATTTTAGATCAATGTAGAGGAAATAAATCCTTGTATTGACCTGGAACGTCACGTGCAGGTCAATACAACATAATATTTTTCTAACATAGTTGGATCTCAGCCAATCAGAGAGATGGAAATTATTCAATCATATAATAAACCTGTATATCCTGGTAAGTTTGAGAAAAATGATACTTATCAAAAATCAAATTATCAAACACGTACAGTGTACATGTAAGTGTTCAAATAATACTGCTTTTTGCTACTAAATATGTCCATAGGCACAGTTCATTTTTTGTTGTTCATGTTCCTGCACCTTTACTATCTATGAAAGACAGCATTACATATTATGAAATAATCATTGGAATTACATCACAACTCCTTTAGAGGTATAAGTATGTATATAAACATAGTTAAAAGGAGTGGACATGTATATTTCATGTACTTGTTCTTCATTTCCTGACATGCTGCTTGTGGTAAAAAAATTAAGTAAATCAATTAAAGTTTTTTGACTTTATGTTGATATACATGTAATGGCTTTTAAAAAAATCAACGTTGTCGACATTTCTGTAGACACATTTGGAGCATATGTGTAAATGTTTGTAAACGCTGCATTCCAGGTAACTGCTATTTTCGTAATTAAATTGGAACTTGGGTATCTCTAATTTGGATATATTGAACACTATGGATACTTAAAATGATTTTGAAGACCAAATCACATTTTCTTTTTGTCAAAACTTGGTTAAATTTTGCAAAAGATGGCCAAACAAGAAGGTCATCCCACAAAGTCGAATATGATATCGACATAAAGTTCATGAAACAAGAAATAGAAATGTGGAATACTAAAGTTGTAGTCCCATCCAATTAAAATTAAGGTATAGGTATAGGCAAAGTCAAAGTTTTTTTTTTTTTTTGGAGGG